AATTATAAATACAAATAGAAATGTAGGACTTAGTCTTGATTATAGGACCATTTTCATTGTTGCCTCCGTCATCAATCGTCTTGTTGTTTTAACATAAGGGCTGCAAGATATTGTTGAGTTTAGCACCATACATGTGTGTTTATAAAAAAACAGTGAGTAAAGTTTTATTTACTGGAAATGTACTTTTTATCTTAGCTGAAAACATTGACAAAAAAAACCTCAACAGCCTTTATAATTGACCTTTAATTCTTCCTACATGCATCAATACTTGTATTCCGGCTGGAGCCTTTGAACATGCAAAAAGCTGAAACGTAGCTGCATCAGACACTTCCTGTAAAGCATCCGGTTACATTATCAAGAGTCTTTAACAGCTTTTTGATTCAGATGTTTCTATACTTGACAGACATCATCATCAGCAGGGTCAGAGTACAAGGTCAACCAGTGTGAGGCTCAAGGACATTTAGACATTGACGAGCGCAGCCGCAGACTGTGAGATAAAAACCTGTGACCTTCAAGCAGGTCATGCAAACCAGAGGGACGGCTTTACCTGCACACGATGCATCTTTAATAAAATACTTCAATCCCTGCAGCATCCACGATAAAGAACACTGTGATGCAGATGTGCTTCCTGTTCACTCTCTCAGTCTTGTTGCAGCTGTAGTCAGTGTAACTGTCTAATGAGGCATCTCCTCATCCATCCAGCCCTCACACTCTGTTCCCTCGCTCACACTACTCCTGCTCTCCTCCTCTTAACACTCCCTCCCTCCCGCCCTTCCTTCTCTTACACAAGTGGGTGACAGATGTGAGCCACTCTGGAGAGCACACAGACACTCTGCTGCCAGCCGCCGCTGCTCTTATATTCTCTGTGTGTGTGTGAGCGTGTGTGTATGCATGGTGTGCAGTTGTGTTTCACTTTATGCCTTATGCATGAACTCTAAGTCATTGTGTGTTGCTGTAGTATTCTGTCCTTCTGTGTCTGTGCTTTACTTCATTTTTTAATGAGGTTGCATGCACTGTTGTGTGTGTGTGTGTGTGTGTGTGTGTGTGTGTGTGTGTGTGTGTGTGTGTGTGTGTGTGTGTGTGTGTGTGTGTGTGTGTGTGTGTGTGTGTGTGTGTGTGTGTGTGTGTGTGTGTGTGTGTGTGTGTGTGTGTGTGTGTGTGTGTGTGTGTGTTATATCATCATAGTAAGTGCAGCTTTTTATCATCCCCTCTGTGTGGTCACCATGTGAGCAGGTGTGTGACTATAGTGCAGTTATACTTTTAAAGTGGGCTTTTTCCACCATGTGCAAGTTTTAATATTTTCATTGTCTTTTCTTACAAACACAGGACAGGTCTTCAAAATGCACGCAGAGGGCTTGTGTTTAGCCTGTGTCTTCAATTTGAAGCTCTTTCCCCATTCTCTGTGTTGTGAACAAAACATGTTTCCACTTAGTCAGAGATAGTAAAAGTGTTCATAAACAGTTAGAAAGTATCAGGGTGACAACCCGACTCAGACAGAATAGATCAGGTTTTCACATTATCAGCTTGTGGTTTAGAAGTGGTTTTGACTTTCAACACGGTCAAAACTTGCTTTGAAAAGTTTACAGCCTGTCATGCTGTTGCTCCTTCATTTCTCTGTTTTGAACAATACTGCCACTCCTCATTAAACAATGATGTAATCATCTTTCGATCAGTTTTGTAGGCATCACAAAATGCTACTTCAGTGCAAACCTTTCTCTCTCTCTTGTAGCTCATCAATTAGGTTGCATAGGTTTGACCCGGGTTACCAACACGATGATTCTTCAAAGAATTCACCTTCTGGGCCCAATGTCTACATGCACCACATCTTTGGAAATGTGACTGATTGCTCATATGTAGTCGTTTTCCACCAAGGTCCCATCGTCTGGGATACGAAGAAATTAACTAACACTTTTTAACGGGTGTTTTTTGGATGAAGCTGTCTTGTCTTTTCTCTGCAAACTGGACCAGAACACTAACTGAACAACAAATATGTTCAAATATGAACCACATTAATGTGAAAATTCAAGTTTCTGACATGATAAAAAACATAATTTCCAATTATTTGAAAGGATAGATTCCTCCTCCAGCTCTTCATGAAACACACACAGTGAGTTTAGTAGACATGTTTCTGTTCCATGAGAAGAATGGACAATCTCTCTCTCTCTCTCTCTCCTTCTCTCACTTACACACATGGGCACACACACATTTCCGTTCACTTCTCGTGTAATGTAATCACCTGGGCTCTCCATGCTTCCTAACTCAATAAAGCTGACAGCCTCCCTCACACACACACTTTACACACACTACACTCACAAACACACAAACAAACACACACATCTTCCGGAACAAACCTGTGATTTTATTTTAACCCTGTTCCTTTTTTTAACCCCACTCCCAACAAATGTATCTGTAGATTACAGTAGCTTGGACTATGTTCCTGTGTTCTCTTCCTCTAGATAGCAGCAGTTACATACCAGGTCTCATTAGCCTCAGACCCTTCTCTCAGAGAGGTTTTTGGACCTGACTCAAAGGTGGTTTAAGGTGTGGAAATGAACGTTTGGAGGGCAGGCAGAGAAACAGAGTTTGATCAACATGCTGAAGATTTATTCAGTATTGAGTGAATGGAAGGTGGGCTGGTAAATGGAGAGAGTAGAGGTTAATTAAAGTAAAAACAGATAAAATGGGCAATTTTTTGTGTGTGTGTTGCGAGGGTGACCTGCAGCCATGACTGATCTCAGGAGCACCATCTGCTCCTCACCGCAGCAACTGTTGCTGAGGGTACCTGTGTTCCTCTCCTCCCTGCTATCCAACCTTTTACTCCTCTTTGGTTTCTACTGTTCTTTAAAAAAAAAAGAATTGTTCTCTTTTTCTCCTCTTCTTGTTCTTCTTCTCTCATCAAAGAAGTACTTATTACACACAACTACACATCCCTCCCCTCAGACCATCTTCTTTTAAATGTCTTTAACATTCAGTGTTTATATTTAAACTGTAGTGTTCTACCATCTCCTCAGCTAACTGCTACTGCTGTTATTATTTACTGCACCTGAGCCAGCCTTAACAGCAGCTATTGACACTTCCCTCTGCGACACACGTACACCACGTCCATCAGAATCTCTAATTCTCTAAGACTTTTCCTTTCCTCCGTCTTTTAAAATCTGTCTCTCTTCCGCTTCTTCGTTCCCTGGCAATTGTGTGGACATGACTCAGGGCCCCCTTGTCTACAGAGAGAAAGAGAGAGAACAGGAGAACGAGTGGTGAAATGAGTTTGATGGTCTGGTGTTTAGAGAGAAAGGAAGAAAAGAGGTAGAGTGAGTGGGGGAGAGAGAGAGAGAGAGATCGTAGATCAGAACCGTCATGATTGAGCCATCTGCTGAGAGGAGGCCAGTGAGACTCAAACACACACACACACACACACACACACACACACACACACATCCGTGCTTAAAGATCACCACTGCCACCCGTTGGTCACTTCCTGACACTACGCCTCTCCTTCCCCTCTTTTACACTGTCTGACCGCCCTTCTGCCACCCTAAAGGATCATGCCAGCCGGAGATGAGACACGTAGCTCTAAGCATCGATCAGTCTGGTCTGGCTGTTTGGTGAGCCAGTGTTAAACAGCCCGTTCTGTTTGCTCCACAGGGGTTTTTTGTGCTCTAATATATGAGGTTTATCTCCCCCTAACTCCTCTCTAAGAAGAGCGCAGCCACACTATGGATTATGAGGCTTTGGCTCTCTCAAAACATATCGAGTATAGTGATGTGTTACAGACTCTTGCCAATGCTACGATGCGCTGCTGTAATCCCACTTTTGCCGTTTCCTCTCTTGCCCTGGAGTTAAATGTGATTTGTTGTACACTGTCTGTTGGTCTGCGTGCCTGTGGGTGTTCTGTGGGTTGTTGCATTTGATGTGTGCAAACACTCGTCTCTGGCCTGAACTATTCTTCCTGCTCCTCTCACGTACTGACAGCAAGCCTTAACTATGTCCACTCTCATTTAGCTGTCTAACCTTTAATAGATTTTTAAATGCTCCCCTCCCATTGGCCAAAGCTGGCCATTTCATCCCATTAGACATTAGCATACGGCTGACTGGTGGAGAAAGTGCTCTTTATATGCTAATGAGGAGAAGTGTATGCAGTGAGAACCAACCCATGGCCCTTTGGGAGGACCCTAGGATGGCCCAATGTTAAGAATCTTCAGGCAGTCCAAATTTGATCTTGCTTTCAATCCATTCTCAAACACTTGGTTTGTGTCTTTATGAGCTATTAAGTCAAAGGGGTTGACTTCAGGCTATGCCATGAAGAGCAGCTGAAGTCTGCTTTATAGAACGAGTGGACAGTGAAGCCATGATTAGTAGCTTTTCATTTGTCTGACATCAGTTTAATGGCTAAATGTGCGAAGGTGTCACTTTAGCTGTCAACATTTCTTGGATTGCGTTGGATAAGCGTTCTTTTTGATGGGAAGTCTGAACCTTAATAAAATAACATTCTGTTTTGAAGAGGTGTTTCGTATAGTTTGACAGGTCTTTATTTATTGCAAACAGCTAACTTAGCCAATTGTTGCTCAGTTTTATCCTTTTATCTACACAAACATTAAAACTATACTTTACGTCTAATTCAAATAATTTGTCCAACACTTGCCGACACTTAAATGGCCATAAAATCTGCAGGGTAAACATGAATCATGGAACATGAAATCAAGGATGAAAATCTGAAAAACCTGAACACTCGCGCATTTTACAGCGCCCCTATAACCAACATTAACAACAGGCTAGCCTTTTCCCTGTTTCAAGTATTTATGCTGAGCTAAGATAACCAGCTGCTGGTTGTATCCCTGTATTTATCAGAGGGATATGAGTGTTTAGCCTCATCTCACTCCCAGTGAGAAATCGAATAAGAGTATTTCCCTTAATGTCAAAGATTCCATGATCTATGGATACGTTTTAAAAGGTCACACAACAGCTCATCTGACCAGCTTGCTGTTCCTCTCTGTCTGTTACAGGAACAAGGTGTGGTGGGGATGTCAAGACCGCCTGGCGCCATACCACCTCCTCACCCTGCTGGTGGCGTTTCCTCAGGGGTGGGGCCCAACCAGGGGTCAGGTCCACCTCCAGGCTACGTGGGCAACCAGCAGCAGGCGGCCATGATGAAACAGATGATGGCAATGGAGCAGGAGAAGAGGGTACAGATGCACATGATGGAGCAGCAGAAACAGCAGCTTTTTAGAGAGCAGAGACAACAGCAACAGCAGCAACTACTGGCAGAACAGGTGAGTTAGTGTACCACAGTGTGATCATAAACATAGTGTGATGCTGTGGTAAATACAGCTATGCTCGCAAGGCTCATCTGTCATGCATTGAATTATGATATGTGTGTGTGTTGTTTGTTCATACCTTCATGTTTATTTTCTGTCTGCAGCTCTTAAGAGCAGATCATCCTATCCTCTTCCTTACTGTTGTCTGGTTGCATGTACTGTATAATTACCCTGAACCAGCTCCCTCTTTACTTCTTCCTTTTCATCTCTGCAACGTGTGTGTGCGTGTGTGCGTGTGTGCGTGTGTGCGTGTGTGTGTGTGTGTGTTTTTGGCTCTTGCCGCCTGCTGTGATAATGTGGTGTTTTCTTTTCATTTCTCTGTCTGTGAGGGACTCGAGTGTTAAAGAGTTCTGAACTCTGAAGTCACCACTCACTATGTTGGTTTTAATTGGATCAGCAAAACATACACAGACACACAAACATAAAAAAATGTGTGTGAAAGGAAATTCATCCTGATAAGGATACGCGTATGTTGTTAACTGGATATCATAACTCTATTTAAATGAGCAACACCTCCACATTAAAAGCACCCATTCAGTAGCTTCTTGTTATGCTGCCTATTACTTTTTTCAAATTAAATGTTTATACTTGCAGCGTAGCTTTGGCTGTGATACAGTATAAGGGCTTCCTCCAGCTTCCTGTTTGAGCACTGATCAGTTTTGTTGTTTATTGTGTGGGAGAGCATCATATAGACCATATACATTTATCTTATCCAATTCTGCTATATCAGAACATCTATTGTATATCTGTCTGTCTGTACTATACCAAACTCTTTTTTCTCTACTCTTCCAAATGTTGGACTGTACTAAACTTCTATTTCTACCACACCAATCATCTGTCACAGTCTTACTCCTACTATACTGAACACCCATCTTACCACTGCTGTACCAAACACCTATTTGTCTCTTCTGTACTAAACATCTGTCTCGCATCTACTGCACTCATTACATTATCAAATATGTAACTGCTGAGCTAAAGTGTGTCACCTGCATTATGGTAAACATGAGTCTCTGTTCTGATGTTCCAAGCATCTGTTGCACCGGTGCTTTGGCTTTTGAAATGAATTTGATAACTTCAATGATTGGTCCACTGTTAAAATCAGTATTAAGCTCAATTTCCTATTGGTTGATGCACACAAGCCTTCTCGAAATGTATGAAACAAAATCAAAGTTTAAGAAGGCTAACACAAAACAGACAATCAGACAAATATGTTGTCCCCAATGAAGGTCGAGGTAGATCAGAGCCAAGACTTCAGTGATTTGTAATATGTATTAGTTATGTTTGTTATGACGTTAACTTTCCTTTCTGTGAACGCACGTGTACCACATGTAACACATTGTTTTTGTCCTTGCATGTGTCCGTGTGTGTAGCTCCAACAGCAACAACATCTCCCCAGACAGATGGGTCAGGGCCAGAGGAATCCATACCCCCAAGTCAATCAGTACCAAGGTGAGACGCAGACGAACGCATCTATCTCATATCAGGAAACACAAAATATGTGCAAAACATTAAGAATGGCAGTGCACGAATAGATTTTCTATTAAACAAAGCAAAGATCTGACCGAAATTATTATTATTGATGGTCATGTTCGTAAATTTGGTTTATTTGTAAGTCACTTTCCAGTTCTTAAATAGCATCCAGATTGTTTTGCCTTCCAGGCTATTTCTATGTTTTATAAATATTCAGTTTTTCTGTAATTTAGCTCTCCCTACTGTATGGGGTGGTTTTGCATCACTTCCTTTAGAAACAGGAAGTAGGACGTTTTAGGATGCACATGGGGTGCGTTCGAATTGTCCCTCCCATCTCCTTTCACTATCCACTTTACCTTAACCCCGGGAAAAACGTCATGAGGTTAAGGAAAGATGTTAAGAGAATTCATAAAGGACTTATGGAAAGGCGATCTCGTTGCTCTGACAATCCGACCACATTTCCACTAGGCCACGTCATTAAATGTGACGGGACGGCGGAGGTTAATGACGTGGGTCCGCCTGTTGAAACTACAATGTTGACTACTAAACGATCATCTAAAAAACCTTCCCTTGTGCCTTCTTACCAGTGAAATAATCCTAATTACCACGAGGTTGGGATTGAAATAAAAGAAATATAGACTACCAGGCTACAAGTAACACAAGTGAAACCATCAGCTTCCTGTCCACTCAGAAATCAACATCAGCATAAATATGATTGGATGAAATTAATTGTTACATTTATGCAAGATAAACAAAATGTTTTAAGCATACAAATGTACAACTGCACAAAGCAAGTGAATGAAATATGTTGAATAAAACATCATCTGATAAAAATGTCTCTTATCTTTTTATCTCTTTCATGATCTGTGTCACTTTACGATCATCGTTAATGTTCCTGAACAGTCGGATGCACTACTCGCTGTAAATGTTGAGGCCGCAAAGAATTGTGGGGCGGCATATCTCATCTCCTTTGGTAAAGGATGGTCCAGTGTATCCTAAAGGAGGTTATAAAGGAAGCATTGACCCACCTTTCCTTAGCTTTTCGAGAATTCAAACGGCTCTTATCATGGCCGCCACTTAAATGCTTCCGGGGTTAAGGTAAAGTGGACAGTGAAAGGAGATAGGAGGGACAATTCGAACGCACCCAAAGTCTAGTAGAGGGCTAGAATTTGTGGCAGGAGCTGAAGAGTAAATCCAGTGCCATCCAGTTGTTTCTCCAGCAGTGGCATTGCTTGTAAGTTGTTCAGATGTTTATTTAGGTTTTCACCTTAAGATATTGGAAAGTATTTTTGTTATATTATTACATTTGTATACATTAATGCATGTCATTTAAACAATGAAGACACATCTACAAGCATAAAAGTAGTTACCTTGTTTATTATTTTGATGATTACAAATTATCTTTGTATAAAGGACATCTTGTTAATTGTGTTGTACCAATCTATATTTTCAGTTTCACTCCTGATTCTTAACCACATGCACATTGAGTCTGGAATAAATGAAGAGCTAGAACGCTATATCCTGACTCCCGTGTCGTTTTATATGGAGTTTGGCTGGCTGTCTAGTTGAAGTAACGACACCTCAGCGAGGACAGTACACAGATGGTCATCCAAAAATGCTTGCAGTCACACATGTATGGTAGTATGGTATAGCGAGCAGCATTTAACAGCTTTCACAGTTCACTCACTGCCATATTCAGAGACAGATTGCCGCACAAACACACAAAAAAACATGTATGCAAACAGCAGTGTTGACTGAACATCACCCTGAACCCCAACCTTGTCCTCTCTGTCTGTCTCTGTCAGACGCATCAGTTGGCGCTCAGATGCTCCTCAGCCTCTTTCCTCTCTCCCTCCCGCTCTTTAGAAACAGAAATATAGAATATTCCTCTCCCTGCCTGTTACCACGGCAACTTATCTGTCCTGGATCCCCCAGAGTTCCGGTGAAGTCATAGAGATGGATGAGAGGAGGGAAATGGGATGGGGATGGGGAGGGGATAGGTAGATAGTCTTGCAGGTAGGAGAGGTTTGAAAGACAAAGAGAAGAGGGAGGGATGAGTGGGTGAGGGGATGATGGAGAGACAAAGAAATATACTAAGAGTGAAGAGGAGAGTCAAGTTGAAACCATTTATAGCCATGAGAGAGTCTGCAAGTCTAGAAGATGATGTTGAGGGGAAGAGGGGGCTTCAGTGTAAAACTGTGGCCTACAAATATACATATCAGTTCAGCTCAGTGTTTCTATGGTTTTTAGATCCGCACCAGTATCACGTAAAATCAGAAGAAAAAATCATGTCATGTCATCATTTCCATGTCAAATTACCTTCCACTCTGCTGACTCCCTTCTTACTCATGAGTCTGAAGTGTGTGATCCTCTGTGTTTGGACTTCTCTTTTACAGTTCCAGTCCTGGCTATGGGGTGAGGGGTTAGTTGAATGATGTCATAAGTGGGTTTATTAGAGGGGCCATTTCCACACTTGCAGACCTCCTCCACTCAGGCACTGCTGAGCCACTTATGTGTGGTTAGTTTTATTTTAGAGTTAACTGATAACCATTTGTTTTTGGAGTAAACCGGTTGTCATAAAACATAAATTGTTGCATCTGCACGGGCTTATTAGATCAGTCCTGTGTGCCATAAAGTTGTTTAATTGAATTTAGTGTGACAAATACAAATCCCTCCTCAGAAAGGTCCAGCTCTTATTTGATGACTTCCTCAATGTGCCTCTCTGAAGCAGTTTTCACTTCTCATGTCCTGAACTTGTAGAGTTGTCCTTCCACATATGTGGCACACAGAAAACAATTGTCCTTTTTTTCAAGACAAGGAATGCTCTGTTTACGGTGGTTTTAGGAGGAGGAGGACTATATTATAGCTCTTCTTGATATCAATACAACAGTCATTTAAACATATTTGCTAAATGTAAGAATGTTTATCAAAATAGAGGAAGGAAAAGAATACAAGGTCCCTCACTCTGTGCAATATCAGACTTAATCAACACTTGCTTGCTGTGAATGCTTAGACAATTCTCCATTCACACATCAGCTATAATGGGTGTTTCAAGTACTTTTAACTGGAGAGCAGGCAGGGTAAAGCCCATCAAGTGTCCTGTGAAACTGATCTGGACATATGCATTCTCACAACAAAGATCCAGGTGATGTCCCGGACATGTTTAGGAGTGAATTGCGAGCGAGAAAAGAGCTTGATTCTTTGCCAACTTCATTGACTTCTTTGTCTCTCCTAGGTCCTCCTCAGGATCTTGCATCCAGGAGTCAGGCTCTCCAGAACATCCGGGCTGCCCGTTTGCTCCAGCAGCAGCAGCAGAACCAGCAGCAGATGGTCCAGATGAGCTCTGTTCAGGGCCAGGGGGGCTCGGTCGGACCCCAAACCGACATGGGCTTACCCTACAGCAACCAAGGGTCCAACCAGGGTTCTCTGTACGGGCTCAATCCCTCCATGAGCCAAATGATCCACCAGCAGCAGCAGCAGCATCAGAGCCAAAGTGTCCAAACCTCCATGGGTCTTCCACCGCAGCACAACCCCGCCGGAGGGCCGCCCCGGCAGGCAGGTGCAGGTCCTGTGGTCGGAGGAATGCCCGGAGGTCCTGGAGGTGGTGTAGCTGGAGGGTATGGAGGACAGGGGATGTTAATGAACTCGATGAGCCAGCAACCCCTCAAAGGCCCTCCCAATGCCAAAGCCCAAGCACAGAGACTGCAAAGCATGCTGGGAGCTGGAGGAGGGGGAGGAATGGCTGCAGGTGGCTGGCCGCAGCAACAGCAAGGACAGGCACTGCAGGCCATGGGGGGAGGAGTTGGAAGGACTACAGGGGGAGGGGGAGGAGACATGGTGGGGTTCAGCTCTGCCCAGGGATATGGGATGCAGCCTGGTCAACCCTCACGTATGACCAAGCAGCACTTTCAGGGCCCGGGCCAGGGGATGAGCCAGGGAATAGACCCCAGAGTGGGCAACCCGGCAGCAGGCATGGGCGGCCCAATGATGGGCCCTCACATGGGCGGTCAGCCCAGGACCAACCAGCCGAGGCCCATGGTCATGAACCAGGGGATGAACCAGGGGGTGATGGGCCAGGGCATGAGTGGGATGGGAGGGTTTGGGCCGGGTCCTGGTGGGCCAGGATTAGGGGCAGGGGCAGGAGGAGGTGGACCTTACGGACCAGGGGGAGTTGGGGTTGGAGGTCAGCCCCCAGGCTACCAAAGGACAGCCAATCAGGACATGTCATCCTATGGATATGGAGGCGGGCCCTCAGGCGGAGGAGCCTTTGGATTAGGGGACAGCACAGGAGCAGAGCTGGACTCAAGTGATGGTTGGATGGAGGAGTTTTTCCCCAACCAATAGCCAACGGGGAAACTTGAGATGACTTTTACTGGATGAACTGAAACAAATGTTGAAACCTGAGGACCAGAAACAAAAAGGATGACATGATCTGGAATGGCATGTTTTTAAGTGAGCTTTTGTGTAATGTTTTGTGTGTGAATGTGTGTGTGCAAGAATGGAAGGAGCAATCATTGTGTCTCGTCCGTGTTGATGAAAAACCGATATAGAGATTAAGAGGTGTGTTTCGTTAAGTTCAGTTTTTTTCCCCCCACAGACTAAATATTTCCTCATGTTCCAGTATTTGAAACACAAGCCACGTTTACACAGCAGTTTTGAGCCCGTGCTTCAGCAGGGGCTGATTGAACACACAGACTGATGAAGGGGAAGTCCAAGACTTGTTCTCAAGGCAGCAATTTATTTGCGTTTGTATGTTTGTGCCACCCAGCTCAGTACTTCAGATCTCTCCACTATGTGAGAAGCTGAAGGGAGTAGAAAGCACTCTCTGCGCTCACATTTCCTCTCTTAGATTTGTGCCCCCATATACAAACGATCTCCCTTACCCCCACACACACTTTTTTCTATTTACTTGCTCTCTGTCTGTCTGTCTGTCTGTCGTTCTCTCTTTTTCCCTCTCTCTCTTTCTCTCTTATCCTCCGTTCCGCTCGCCTCACGTCTTTTCCACCCTCCCTCCAGAGACTTGTTCCTCGCTCTCGACACTCCTTTCTCTAAAATTATTAACATCACAACACAGTAATGATGTTCCTCTTATGTGCCACACAAGCGTACTCTGCCCTCTAGTGCTTTTGCTGGGAAACAACCAGGGTGATGTTTTTTTTCTGAGAGTATATATTTCCTCTGAGTAGCTTTGGATGAAAGGTGTGCATAAAAAGGAAGACAAAAGAAGAGAAAGAAAGAATAGGCAGCTATAGCAGAGACCTGGAATTTAAAAAAAGCTCTCAAACACAAAGAAACACTCACATAGACACACAAAGGAAACCAACCAACAAACAGACAAAACAAGCATCAGCCCGGGAGCACAAGCGGATGTGTGTGTGGCAGCTAAACGAGCCAATATTAAATTAAACTTCTGCCTGTGTGACACAAACCACATCACCGGCATCGGGCTGGCAAAAAGATAGCAGGGCACTGAATGTATTTAAGCACCACAAGTGACTTCTTCTTTTAGGGAAAGAAAAAAAAAAGCTCAAGCTCATTGTTGTTTTGTTTGTTGCTGTGTTTTATCGCTTACAATGACGCTGGTTGTGTCTGTTGATTAAATGGAAAAAGTGATTCAATTAGCCTTTTTTTTTTTAGTTTGTGTTGTCTTGAAAACCTGTTGGTCCTCCTGTTTCAGCACAGCCTTCCTCTCCATTTGTGACAGTTACTTGTCAGTCACCGTAGCCCCGCTTTAAGTTATGGCTTTTCTTGTACAGCAGCTATAATACGCCCTCGCTTCAAACTAGAACGTAACTGTGCTATACTGTAACACTACTGTGAAGAAATATGACTTGTGCCCTTCCAGCGCTTTACAAGGAAAATTAACCACTGCTAAGCCTTGAGTTAGTTTCATAGTCAGTAACTTCTTAATCCTCAGATAACTGATGAGGAGGCTTGAAGGATTGCAACGGTTAGCATCAAATCAGTCAGTGCTTCCTCTGAAGTCAGTCTCTCCCCTTCTCTGAGCTTAATATAAACTGTAGGCGTTCTTCATCCTCAAGCTATCCACTCTTTGTCCTAAAAGTTGGCTAATAAATATGTCAGATAGTTTTTAATACAGTAGCTGTTGGTAAGATAACACCTTACTCCTCTAACTGTTTCTTAATCTTGGTTGACAGATGAAAGGAGCGTGTTTGTGCGTGCATTACTTTGTAATTTAGCTCATCAGAATGAACGTTTTGGAGGATGACGCTGTAATCAACAAACCAAAAAAGCCTTCTTTCTGTAAACTTACTCTTTGCCATCAATGAATTTGTTTTCATGGTTGTTGATGTTGTATAATCTAGCCCTTTAAACTTAAACCTCCCACCCATCATCTTGTAAGCGTTTCCACATACGTTAGCTACCACAGGTAAGGTTCAGTACTTGGATTTGGTCATGTTCAGGGGAGGGGAAGTACTCTGTTTTACTGTGTGGAGTCTCAAAGTCAGGCAGATGGATATTTAGGATGTAGAGGGGAGATGATCAGGTAAATAACAAACCTGTGTCTTTGTCTAGATTACCTCTTGGATTTTTTTTTTTTGTTTGCCTTCCTTATGCAGGAACTGTAATGGAGCACTCACTGCTTCAACAGCTCCTCTGCTCATGCTTCCAAAACTTTGATATCTGCTCCAGTAGCCTTCTCCAGTCAGGCTCCAATCACAACGTGGAGTATCAGACCAGTGAAACGGAGGTGATGTGTAGGGAAACACCTGAGGATTACCACTCAAAGGTGGAGGCAGAAAGGTAGATCAACACTTCTGGCTCAGTGTTAAGGTCACAGCCTTTATGACCTTTAAAGTAAGAGATCAAGATGATAATAAATCCCTTCAGAAAGAGACAGGAAGCACCCTCCAAATATCATTATGTACCGGGACCAAGTCTGTAGACAACATTTGAAACAAAACTGTTGTTGTTGATGTTCTTTGTTTGATTTTATTTGTTTTTTTTTACTGGTGCTGACATATATGTGATTATGAGAAAAAGTATATAAAAGATAATTGCTATTTGTAAATATGTTTTTACAGGTTTAAATACATCAGATAATACAGTCTCTACTCTGTAAAGAATTTACTGTTTGTTGGAAAATAGAGAAGTATTTTTATTTTGAAGTTTTTTGATTTCACGTTTAACCCATCTGAGCTATGCCATTGCACTTCAGACAATGTCTTACTACTAATTTGTATTGTAAACCTCTCTTTTTTGGATTTTTTTTTCTAGTTCAATTTGACTCTGTTCTTAAGCAGTGCTTATTTCTTTTTATCCTGTACAGAATTCTGAAATGTTAACAAAGGAGAACTACAAAATACCTTTTTTTTTTGTTTGTTTTTTCAAAAAGATAAAATAAAGAGAGAATGTTCTCGCTGATCATATTAAATTCATGTTTCTGGAGTTCATTGGGTTCACTTCTTAGTCTGTTCATCAGATAACAACTATAAAGTCCTTAAAAATAATGGAAAAAGAAATGTAAAAACATAGACCATGAAAAAGACTGACAAGGTCTCAAATATCTACAAAAAGTCACTGATCAAACAAAAGAGCACATGTTGGTTTCCATTGTGGGGTTTAGTGAAGATAAAAACTATATGGCCCCTTACCAATCTTCACTTTACACACAATTCATATCAGGGGGGAATCCTTCAAATTGTGGGCAAGAATATAAATCAACAAATGTGGGGACCCAAATAAAGAGTCCAGTCTTGTTATGTCTCGTCATCAGAGTCCTTACTTTTTTTCTGAATGGGAACTCCCTGAGCTGAATGACTCAAGGTCGCTGAAGCCTTGGACTTAAAGATGGGGATTGAGAGAATGTTGCTAGCTAACTAAATACTGGTATCTAGCTTTAATGTTTTAGCCGTTACAAGAGTTTATACAGCAGTGCCATAGCAATGTATTGCAGAATATGGAAATCAAGCAACATATGTATATGGCACTGACTGTTCTAGTTTTATAACAAAGGTTAGCTTAAATGTTTAGCTAGCTTTTGTAAGTGCCCACTGTCTGTGGCCATAAAGGCTTTTAGTTAAGCTCTCAAGTATCCAAAAATATACTAACATTCTCACAAATCCCTAACCAATTTTTTTTTCCGGATATGCATTAGTGTTCTCATTCCATTTATACACAAGATTAAGAACATTTGAAGAAGTGGTGAAAAGGGTGTGTTGTATGTGGACAAAGACACTTAGGCGACACGCAGTGTTTTTTATTTCAAGGTCACAAGACTGACAAAGACAGATGCATGCACATTCATGTTGATCCTCAAACCAGACTGACTAGCAGTCCAGTAATGTTCTGTCTGACATGCCAGATTTGCATAATTAGACGTGCATATGCTAAAGAGCAGAGACTTAATTCTATCTGGCAGTAATAGCTACGATGAATCACAGGACAGACAGATAGACAGACCACATGCAGGGCCGGGGCCTTTTAGTTGTAATCCATCTTTTCTTCACAAATGCCCCATCCAAATTCACTTCTCATCCTCTGTTGGCCACACCCACTTTCTTCATCTCTTCTCTTTATGGTTGCAGCCTGCCGTACCTCTCCTCCTTTTCCAGCTACATTTTTTCCGTTCCACTTTCCCGAGCTGCTTCGTTTCTCCTCGACTCTCTACCTTCCACCCCCAGCACCACACACACACATCCAGTACACTCCTCCTTCCCATCTGACATTGATAAATGGACACTAACAGAGATGACAACATCATTACTCATGTTCAGTAGCGACACCACCTAGGACAGAGAAAAACGAGAGGAAGAGGGAGGATGAAGGACAGGAGAGAGGGAGGTAGACGCAGAATGAAGGGGGTGGAGGAGGGGGATTTGTTATAATCCACCCCCAGGTACACACTTTAACATTTACAGAGAGCATGATGTTGAGGTGTCCATTACCGGTGTGAAATAGTAGAACAACTGTTGATAGTACCAGCTGCCTGCAAGATTGAAACTCCTCGCTTTCCTACTCAAATCCAATCAGACGGAAGTAGCTGCAGGGCCGCAAGAAACCATTCTTTTCTTTATCACTAAATCTGCTGCTCCTTCAAATTGATCATTTATTGTTTAAAATGTCAATAATGTCAACACGTGGACATGGCACATTACCAGAGCCTCTGGAATTTTGTCCAACAGGCGAAAGATGTAAATTTAAAAAAAAAATTGCTGTTAATAAATATATCTTATATTAATTTATTGCCACACATTATTGTAAAAATCAAGCAACACCCCCACATGTTAGCTAAATGTTAGCTTTTTAACATTCTAAAAATGAGAGTCCCAACATGTAAAAGTGTTCCCCACATTCATCGTCATACATCTCCCAAAGACAAACCTCTAATTCTGTTGGACATTAAGCATAAACTTCATATATTCGAAGTAACACCTTCACTTGATACTAATGAAAAACATTATTTACTGAGAGTAAGGAAGAGACATTTATTTGAGGACCATTTTTGTTTTATTTGCTGAATTTCTTTTTACATCTTGACAGAAATCAATGAGTAAAAAAAAAAATGCCAGTAAAGCAAATGATGTGGCTGTGACAGGCCAGTAATAAGTCTGTGCATTCATTTCCAAATAACCAAATAAAAAGATTGAATGATCGTCTTGCATTCCTTAATGCATTCTGCTGCTTCATTCATTGAGGACAAACAGAATCCAACACAATTAGCTGTAGCAAACTTGTAGAAGGAGACTGGCAGATGAAGACATTTGATACAGTTAGCAAAGATGCACCCTTCTTCCCAACAAGCTTGTGGTGTTGTGAAGCACCAGGACTGAGGTAATGTTCATGTTTTTCACTCCTAGTGCCTTTAACATTTTTGTTTGTGGTGGTGTGAAGACTTACAAATTCTGGCATATTCTTATTGTCCCACCAAAGCTTTGACTATTCAATGCTACATGCAACAATGCATGATATGTATCAGTTGTGAAGATCTTTCACAATCACCCAGTAGTGATTAGAATGTTTTTTTCAGCTACCAGCAGTGATAAATAAACCCACTGTATATGCATTATGTATATTAACTCTTTCAGTGGGAACACACTTAATTATCAAGGCATATTAGATGTCTGTAATGTCTGTGCCAATGACTGGAAATCAACCTGATATTTGTTATATCACCATGGCCCAAGCTGCTACACCATTCAACCAACTGTAGCTAACATGGTTAGACAAAGTCCAAATTTCAATGCCAAGCACATCAAATCTTTAGTAGAAAATAGAATAGAAACATATTTTATTATTCTACAGGGCATGGGGAGGCCAAACAATATACCTTGAACAGTCTTAGTTGCTCCTCAGCAGCACAGACACAGAGCCAAATACAAGTCCAGGTTCATACAGCCAGTTCCCTTCTGTAAAGAAACACTGATACACACCGTAACACACAGGATCACCCCGGCACACACACCCCAAAGGCTCTGTTATGAGCTCTAATAGGAACGACAAATGAAATGTCACAAAGAGAGGGAGATGAGATTCACTTTCACTGCCTCTCTGAGTAATAAGGAGAAGAAATAGAGCTTCAGAGATGTGGACTGCAGAGACATATGGAGGGGGGGCAAAGAAAGAGAACAGGAGATGGGGATGGCGAGAAGTGAGAAAGGAGTGTGTGTGTGTGTGTGTGTGTGTCAAGTTGATGAATGTGGTAGCATGAGCCATTGTGGTGGTGGAGGAGTAAGAGGCCACCAGATAACAGCAGAGCAAGGCCTAAGCTGTCTCACCATGAATAAAACACCCTGGAAATCTCTCTCTTTCTAACACACACACTCACTCTCTCTCTCTCTCACACACACACACCGCACAGACACACAAGTGGATTTCTAATTACCTTCTGACCACTTCATCTTTCTGTTTCTCTGAGTTATTTAAATGGGTAGTATCAGACTGTGATAAGTGCTCTCCATGATGCCCCCTGCTTGTTTATGATAACCTGCACGTGTTTTTATACTTTACATACTTACACACTCATACTCAGTGACTTGTCCACTTTCCCTCACACCTTAATAGTTGCAATGCAAAGTTTGCCTGTTTATCTATACGCCAATGGTTATCTGGTTGGGAGCAGTGATGTGGTTGCACTGCTTTTTTTGTTGACATGGCGCCCTCTAGAGGACTCTGTCTGGAACTAAGAGGAGCGCCATGTTGCTCACTGTAAGGATCCATTTCTCAATTTTCACTTCAATGTGGACCAATGCAGGTGTTTATCAAAATGAGGCATTAGTTGTCTTTGTGCTATTTTTTAATCAAATATGGGGTTTTGGTGTTTTGAAAATTGTCATTCTGTTTTTTTGTTTACATGTTGCACAATGTTGCAACTTATTTGGAAAACTTCATTGTAAATGTTGGCGACAAATCAAAGAACAATTGAACACTGAAAACAATGAAACTGTGTTCCCACTGATGGTGACACAACCTAAAGGACAGAAAGGGGTTAAGAAGATAAAACCTGGCATGACTATTTGTGTGTCTGCGAGAAAAAAAGAGACACTACCCATTATAACTGTGAACAAATACTTCTATTTGACTGCAGTGTGATTTAGTATGTGGTGCAATCTTCCTTCAAAAAGGTTCAAACACTCAATGTATAACTCACACATGGGAGTCAGACTTAGATGGATGAAGACATTTAGGACAACCATGCAAAAGGTGGAGGAAGATGTATTGTAACCTAAACAAATATGGTTTATTCTGGAAAGTCAAGAGTGACAATATGGAGGACTTATCCTTTGATTGTCCAGTTTCCTAGTTACACCCTCATAATAATCTGAGTTATATTAAACCTCATTTTGAGCCACTCAAAATGAAAGGTGGAGTTGTTGACTACCAGTAATTTACAATGTTACGTCCTCTCAGATGTAACAATCCACCTGAATGATCTGAGATAAATTGTGTACGAGTGGTCCACAAACTCTGTCTCTTCCAAGGAGCTCTGAGTCTTTCTTTGTGACTTGAGATGATGTTTGATTCCTCAAACTAATCCCAATTTCTTTCAACATAAACTGTGTTTCATTCGTGAACTCTTGGCTCACAGTCATAACCTTAATGTGCGGGAGGGTCGTTTTGAGTTTTCTACTTCAAAGGCAAGGGGTATTCTTTGAGGAAGCGTTGACTTTGAGTTAACTTTAGGCTTAAAGTCAGCTTTAATTGGCCAAGTATGGACACAAAGAAAGGTGGTTGTTGTATGCACATGAAGCAAAAAAAAAAAAAACAGCAAGAAAAAGCAGATACGCCTGCACATATACTCAGGTCATGAAATCACAACGTTTTACTTTAAACCACTGGTCTTTTTGAGGTGGTCGTCACACCAGTATTTGCATTTGGCACAAAATCATTCAACTGATAAACTCACATTTGCACGTGTTAGCACATCCATATGTTGCAGGTTATCTTTACAGCCTTCAGGCCTGACAGCAGAGGTCTCAGTAGACATAAACACATGAGCTTAAAGTTAGTCACTGGATATTTTTTTAATTTGTTAAAACAATGTTAACTGCTAACTAAATAACCCACAGGCATTTGCAGGTCATTTTTGGCTCTTATTTGCATATATTTGCAGAACAAGGACATTTCCCCTCCCTTGGTGGGAAACAGAGCAACAGCCCACAAACAATCATTACAAATTGTCCAACAACAAAGGGTATGAGAGAGAGCCTCATCTGTTTTGTATTTATTCATAGTTTATCGTTGGAGGATCACATCTTACCTCAGATAAAACCCAAGCAGATGCTAGTTAACTTGACTTTTTTGTTGTTTGTTTGCCAAGAAAAAATGAAATGATTTGACAGTTTCATGGGTAAGAAGAAGAGAGATAATATGTCCACACACCTGAGAAAGCCTTACTGAACACATTTCCATGCATGCTGCTTATAACATGCTGTCAACACCAAGTAAACAATAACAGTCATTTGAACTCTATTACAGCTATGTCATTTCATCACAAACAGTCAATATCAATTAAACACAACCAAAGATGACACAACAGGTAAGGAGAGCGTAATAGTTAGATTTAAAACTTAAAGTATGACAACAGACAGGTTTGCCCATGGGCCAAAGCCAACCTTCCAAAAACAACAGTGCTAACATTGAGCAGGTTTGATATATTAATAGTAAGCAGACAACCAGTCATTGGTTAGATCTCTAGTAATATGGTGCAAGATAGAAGACACATTTATTGTTGTTTAGAAAAAAATCCAGGCACACATTCTTAACCCACTGAAAAAGGTTTTCCACAAACAAATGTATTAAATTAAATGAAGCAACTATTTGCTGTTAAAGTGAGACTTACCTGAAATAGGTGACAGGATCTACTACTACATTATGTTATAGACATTAGGCCTATAGGCCCACCCGGTGGGGGAAAGTTCACTTCTCTTTTGATCTAAACAGATGTAGGCTTCTTAAGTTTCTAAAGTTATCCAAAAGCTGGCTATTGTTCTGAGGCATATAGTTGTTTATTGATAGCTGATTGGTCCTGACATTGCCAATGCTAGAACATGTGAAAAAAATCCTTATGGTCTTGCAACACCAACGGTGCACAGTTTGTGTTGTCTGTGCAGCAATACTTTTTTTAGATGTATTTTGGGGCTTTTCCTGATAGGACAGTGGATAGAAATCAGGGAGCGATGTAATAGTGGGAACTGACATGCAGGAGAGAAACCACAACTTGTCACAAATACACATTCTGTAGGCTACTTGACCATGTATAACTATTTAAGACAGAAGTGAAAATCTGAAGATGATACATTTGTGCACAAGAAATGTATAGGCCTATAATTTGATATAGAAATGAAGTGAGTGTAATTTAGTAAGAGTGGGACCAAGATATTTAAGGGAAAACAAAAAGTGTGACAAGATACCCCTGCTCTACTGTTTCTATGTTCCCTTCTCTCCAAGATTCCAGGGTGATCAGATCTTCCTCATTCAAGTTGTCTTTAAAACTATGGATGTAAGTAAATATGTTTGCCACAATTTCTACCTTTTCTTCATCAGACACTTCTACTTCCCCAATTTTAGAACTGGATACTTCCATTCTCTCCTCATTCATCACATGCACTTAATCATGCTCCATACATCACCCACATCACCCACAGGGGTTAATCGACACATTTTCTCACAAAAACTATGCCAACTTTGCCTTTTTACTTTGTGCTGCTTGTTTGTAGCCTATTTCATTAAGTTATGCAAACAATGAGTTCTTAATATCCCAAAAGCTTTATTTCTATTTACCAGGGAACTGCCTTCCTCTTCAGTCTTCCTTTATTTTTAGAAATGGTTTGATTTGAAGCTTTGAGTAAAAAAATTTTTTGTCTCAGTGGTGTCCAAACTTTTTTTTCTTGTGGGCCAAAATTGTCGTGTTAGAATCGCTCGCGGGCCACAGGTTTTGTTTTTTAGAGTATAGTTGAAAAAATAGTAAGGCTTTGTAGATCAGAATCAAAAGGCTCGCTAAAGAAACCCTTTAATAAAAGGAAATCAAATATTTTGATTTCTTCGTTCTACTTTATTTGTTTTTTTCTCAGAATCAATCCTGTAACGTGGTTCATGTTTTTGGAAAAGCTTTCTGCATTTAGCTCAGGTCATTAAATGGTTAAACAACATTTAGCTTGTTTGCAAACACTTGGCATACGTTTTTTTTCATAGTTTACAAAAAAATGTGGAAAATAGTAAAAGCTGTAGATTTAAAAACAACAACAACATACATGTTACTGAACATTTTCTATTTTAGGAATATTGTTCAGTCCTTGTTAACATGAAAAATAAAAATAAGATAATGTGCCAATCTTAATCAAAATCATCTGATTCTTCATTTGAAGTCACGGGCCGCAAAAAATCCCCTCAAGGGCCGCAAATGGCCCTCGGGCCGCACTTTGGACACCCCTAGACTAAAGAGTCTTGCAGGATTTGTATGTTAAAGCAGGAGGCCGCCATTTTGAAAGTTGTCGGAGCCTCCGCTACCACGTGAGGCGGAAGTGAGTGAGGAGAGAAGAGTAATCGAGCAGAGCGGCTGGAGCGGGCGAGTCAGAGCCATCACTCCGCTCTACTCGTCTGGACTAACCCGGGCTAACTTTAGCTACATGTGCTGAGGTCGAGGGACAAACTGAGCTCAACCGCAACAATGCCGACAGTTACTTTACCGCCGAAAGAGAACGCGCTCTTTAAAAGGATTTTGGTGAGTTAACTTTAAACACAAAGATTGTTGATATGAATCTGAATATTAAAGAGTCTCCTCGGCAGCTCTGTGTGTCCGTGTAGCGCCCCGGCTGTTAGCGTTAGCTTCGTTAGCTTCAGCTTGCTAGCGAAATGGCACAATTGAATGAGTGAGCTAGCTCGGCCCTGACGTGCGCTGTCACTGTACCGCAGAGCAGAAACGGGTTTTCATGACTTTGTTTGAAGTGTGGCATTATGTGGCGATGTGTATTCAAAGTGCAACACAAACTAAACTCATAGACTGGGGATTTCATAGTAAAACTGTGCAGACAAGTTGAATCAGGCCTCCCAGCTTGTAAAACACAACAACCAGTAGCTTGATGCTAACATCCACAATGGCTAACTCGGTGGTAAATGTAACGCTCTTAAGCTTCTCATGCAATTATCCTATATCATTTTACATGTTGTTGTTGTTGTTGTTGTTGTTGTTGTGAGCCGAAGTGTCTTCACCTGAAATCAAGTGTAAGTTTAGTTTGTGTCAGACGTGGGCCATGCTACTAGCTGAGTCCACTGGCTGACCATTTGACGTTAGCTAATCAGCTAACTTGATAAGTAGCGTCAGATATGATGGTTTTGCATACCATATATAACTGTCAGCTGCTCGTTAATTGTTTTGGACCTAGGTTGGTCCACGTTTCCATCAACCATGTGAGTAAGACCAGCTTAAGAGGGCAGAGCATGAACTAAGAGAAAGTAACGGAAACACCGGTGTGACTGTGTCAGCAAATCTGTATCGGCTTCAGGCCTGCAGCTTTACCCATGCGTCCATCCCTCTGCAGTGTTTCACTCCATTTGTCGCCCCGAGGTTTAATTTTCAATTTGCACACAGTTTTATATCGGTCAGAGAAATTGTTAAATAAGTGTTTATGATGACAGTTTAAAAAAATCCCAGGAAATGAGGTTGACTGAGTTGATCTATGTGTAAGTTGCTGCATGAAAAACGGCTCATCGTCTTTTTTACATTCATGCTTTATGTTTTTAAGTGTATTTTAGTGAATATTTTTGCATGGACATCTAGGTACAAACTTTCCAGGAAGAGTGTGTATGTAATACGTTCAGTCACCACTTCAGATAAACACCATTGTTTGTAAAGTCAGGGGCTCTTCTGGGAGTGTGTGGATGTTTATCTGCACATTGGCAGAGGGCTGGCATTCAGTTGATCTACCTCTGGCAGGAAAACAAGACCTGTGACCTGCATCTGCTCCTAAAAAGTGAAGTTCTGTATTTGCTGCATACCTCAGAGGCAGAGGGGTTTTGTTATTTTTGGGTTGCTATCTTAAATCTGTTGGACTTGCATTGTGAGTTTCTAATCTCACACTTACAAACCAACTTGAACAACCAGCTGAGTAAAACACTTTTTGGGTATCACTCTCAGAATGAGTGTATTTCAAAACAAAACGACAACAAACAGCTTACTGTGTTTTTACCTATTGAAGAATTTGCTGATTAAACTCTGTAAATTATAGGGATTTTTTTTTCTGTGACACTAGGTGCAGATTTTGTATTTAAATTACACTTGAGTCACTCAGTAAACAATACTTTAGTGACTGTGGTTTTGTGTCGTTCAAGTGCAAGAAACAAACATTAAGCTAAAAATATGTACACGTTTTAGTTATATTGCGGTGCCTCTCTGCTACTCCTCTCTTTTTAGGTCTGTGACTTTAGCAGCCTTAATTTGTCTGTTAGAATTTTGAGTTGAGTAGTTGAAAACTTAAAAGGCAATTGTAAGTGATAAACGTCAAGTGTTACACACTTGTCCAAAGTGTGGGGACCTTTAGTGAAGAAGAGGACTACATGTCTTTTGTCCGATGGAAAATCTTGTGTATATGAGATAGTGAAGAATTCGGGTCCAGGATGGTCTGCCTTTGTTTTGACCAGAGAAAGTAGGCGTTTTGGACGCCCCTCAGTTTCCAAGATAAAATACCAGTTATTACGATGAACCAACAGGTGTTGCAGCAATTGAAAATCTCAAAAAAAAAATCTCACTGAGAAATATTTTGTTTTATATTGTTCATGATTAATAAACACGATTGATTTTACAATATCTGCATCTCGTGCATTTATCAACTTCATCCAATTTGTGTTCGACCGGTCTACTGTTAAGCGTTGAAGTGGGCAAAAGTTATAGCTCCAGGTATCTGTGGATAAAGTAGCATCCATCAACTATGCTGATGCGTTTTCATTCTCGTGGTGGCCAGGCAGAGAGCTGTCAGAAAATATTTCCATAAAGGCAAACTGTACTGTCCATGTATTCTGTCACTTTCAACCCATCACTGTGAAATTTCTCTCATCTTTGCCTAGCAAAGTTTTACTCAATTGATCGATTGATTGGTTGATCTTGTCTTTCTATCACCACTCCTTAATACATTAGCTTTAGAGCTATTGCAAGTAGCCGTAGATGTTGTTGTGCTTGCTTGAAACACAGAATAGCGTAGAACTGAATTGTATAGATCAGCCTATTGTCACGATACCTGATCTAGCTGTTTGAATCAGTATCAGAATGATGTTCTGTACCAGGATCAGATTGATGAATCTCTACAATTACAGTACCCAGAATGAAATTACTAGTAAGTAGAGTTTCTGCTGTCGGAATATGATGCCAGATTTGAGATGGTTCTCTTTCTGGTTGTATTTAGGACTGGACCACACCCCTTTTATTTCTGCTATCCCCAGACTGAGTGCCTCAATGCATTATTAGAAGTTGGCAGTTCTCCAACTTCTGGAGTTTGATGATTTTCCATTTTTTCTTTTGGGGTGAGGAGAAACACTTTGTCTTACTGGAAGTCAGAACTTGAACAGGTCTATGCTTTAATATCAATAGAAACTGTTTTTCCATTGCTCTCTTGTTCTCACACTTGTTAGCATTTCTGCCCTACAATTAATAGTATTCAGTTAAACTGTTTTTCCCTGAGTTGAATTAAAAATGAACTTAGTTTTGTTGCAATACGACTCTTTGCTATCATAGAAACATAACAGAAATGATTGATGCTGTGATACATTTAGAGTTGTGTAATCCCAAATCAGAGCAGCATTAACTGCTGTGTGTAGTGTCTTGGCATGAGATAATCCTTCAGAGAAATGTAATACTTTAAACTGGACTTCTAGGTACTCCATTTCATTTGACTAATACCTGTAGCAACACGCCCACAGCAAAGTGGAGCCCCCTTTCTGCTCCATGCAAAGCTCAACATGCTGCAGGACAGGTTAGTGTTTGCCTTCAAAAATGCTGTGCCTTGTTTATCAAATGTAACTCAGAACCAGTCTGCAGTATATAAGGGGTCGACCTTTACAAGCTGTAATCTTTTCTTTTTACTTAGCCTTAAACAAGTCAGGATTTAACTGATGAAGGCCTTTTTTAAGCTTTGCTTTGCACTGATCCCAACTCCTTTTTACAGCAGTGCTTTATAGTTATGGCAACCGCCTCAACAACACACACCTTCTGCCTAAACTACTGTCGTAGAAGCAAAAATTAATTGATTGAAATCCTCCTGCGTCTTGTGTGTGAGATCCAACAGCTGTTCCAGATGCTGTTGGGTACTCCATTTGGGTCAGACCCCAACAGTTTGGGCCACAGGTGATCCGCGGAAACACGACCTTTCAGCTGTCAGTGTCTGTCATACATTTATGCTGGTGGTTATGAGCGACAACAATCAGAAATGTAACAGCCTGCTGTAGTCTATAGCTGTTACTGAGCGCTCGCTGTGTTTGGTTACTAGATGTAACTCCAGTTCTAGGAGTACTTGCCTAGCCCTCTAACAGGCTTCACTATAGGTTTGGTAACAAATACTGTTCTTTTAAATGATGCAGCTATTCATATTACAGTCAGTTGTACTGGTACTTAGATTTTTAAAAGCACTTTCTAAATAAATAAGGAGTTCAGGTTTTCCAACTGCTTCGGTTAGCCTAATTATAAGTATTAATTCAAGTATTCTAAATTGTTTATTTTGTGTACGTTAATTGTGAAAATGTACAGTTTATGCCCTCCCCCTCCTTTCTGTGAAGTGTGTATTTTTTCGTATTTTAAAGCACTTTGAGCACTTTGTGCAGAAACTTTGGGGGTTGTTGTTTTGCCCTTGTGAGCTAACTTACACTGACAAGCCCACTAAGCTCAAGTTGCAATCGTGAGAGGCATAAGATCAAACGCAAAGTCTCGGGAGATTAAATCCGCTCAACACAATCGGATCTTTGACATTAAGATCAATTAACGATCAAGATCGGTTTGTCTTTACACCACTACTTGTTGTGTTATAAGGCAGGTTTGTTGAAGTACAACCTTTGCACAATCATCATTAGTTGCAGTTCACTAATGTGATTTTACGTCTGAGTTGTAACCACAGGAATCTTCATGACATAATGCTAATGTGGTATCAGTGCTTTGTAACAAGCTTTGAAATGTTGTCCTGAAATCTAACACATGCACTCCTTGCAGCGAGTCCTGCAGCTTAGAGCCAGCACTCTGACATTCTCTCTCTCTCTCTCTCTCTGTATCTCAGGGGGCCGAGTTATTTTTGGGGTGAGGTGGAGAACATGCTGGATAAGCACAGCTGGTGGTGTAAATGTTGCTAAATTTACCCTAAATGAACTGTATGTGTGCACTAGCATCTGTGTACCTGGATTATGCATATATTACTTTTCTGACAGCATTGTCTGTCTGTCCGTTTTGGATAATAACAAAGACATTGGTTTAATTTGTACTGTCTTTATGTCCTTTACGCCCCTGAACAGAAACAGCTTTATGCCATTATGGACATTTATTGTGTCACATTGTCAGTCAGATAGGTCAGTTCAGTATTAAGAGGAAGCAGCACATGCACCCGTTTCTTCTGTGCTCCATATTGAAGTCTCTGCTGAGAGTGTAATCCTCCACTAAGTTCAACTTCTTGAAATTTCATAACCGACCTTGGCACCCTAATGTGTTATTGACGTCATCTTTGTTTCACCATTAGTGAAGTCGGACTCAGCAGTGGGACCAGGCAATGCCATCTGCCAGCTTGACTCTTTCTCTTTCGCGCGCACCTCTCACACACACACACACACACACACACACACACACACACACACACACACACACACACACACACACACACACACCATTTCCCTTGACAGCCAGCGATCAGCTTAAAATGGGAGGTGGTTTAGAATTGATCGTGCAACTGCATACCTAAATATAACTTCAGGGCAAAAAGCTGGTAATTCCTTCAAGCTGGTTTGTACTTCTGTGTCAACACAAGAGCATGGCTGTGTTCAAAGGGCTGATAAATGTTGATAAGAAAAGTTATTGTACTGCCAGATAATATTCTTCTGTTGTGTTAATGACCATGCCAGTGACATTTAAATGTTGGCTCACCAAGACTTAAGTGCTCTTGGTTCTGAAAGTGTTTTTTAGTAAGACTGGGTCAATATGTTCATACAACAAAGTCCCGTTTTAAAAAGTTTCACTCCTGATTCAGTTATCACAACAAGTGAGGCTGTGCGGAGAGGTTTGCTGGTGATGTAGCAAAACAAGGAGAGAGCATAATAAAATCCTCAGCTACAAGTAAAAAAATTGCATAAGATTTGTCTCTCCACAAATTTGTATCAATCAAAATCTAATATTGGTCTATCGCACACCCCTATGATATCAATATCCAGCTTTGGTAGACATCCTCTGTCCAGGTTAGTTTCAGTGAATCAGTATGAATCGCGAAGAGGAAAATAAAAACAAGTGTCACTTTCATGTTTTTTTTTGTTTTTTTTTTAACTTGTTGTGATTCTAGACGATGCTGGACAACAAAAGTGTTCTCTCTCTCTCTGTCTGAAACATGTCTCTTCCTTTTTAGCCTAATGATTTTTCTTCTCCCCTTCCCTTGACAGCGATGTTACGAACACAAACAGTACAGAAACGGACTCAAGTTCTGCAAACAAATCCTATCCAACCCCAAGTTTGCAGAGCATGGAGGTAAGTGGTAGTCTAGGGAATAAATACAAGCAATCTCATGTCATGGGCAATATGTCTTGTATCTCTTACTGACTGCTGTTCTATTTCCCCTCCTTCAGAGACGCTTGCAATGAAGGGCTTGACCCTGAACTGCCTGGGGAAGAAGGAGGAGGCCTATGACCTGGTGAGGAGAGGCCTGCGCAACGACCTCAGGAGCCATGTCTGTATCCTTACTCAGGGCTCGACATTATAACTGGCCCACTGAATGATTGACAGAGTCCGGGCCAGCTGATTGCACGTTCAGCTGGCCCGCTCAGCCCAGTTCAAATACTGCCTGGGAAAAAAAAAAAGACTGTAAAACGTTCTGAATTTCACAGCGCTATCCTGTCATATCATAAGCGCTCGTGCGCGCGCACATGTGTGTCACAGTTGAACGGCCGCCAACGGCTTTACTGCTGTCCATCCCGCGAGAGCGCTCGCTACTCTCAAATTGTACACTCACACACAGATTTTAGCGCAGGTTTTCTCTACTAAAAAACACGATTTAGAACCATCAGATCCCGACAAAAGCCAAGCTAAAATCAGCATTCAAAGGAAAAAAATCACCGGAAGAGTGGAGAGTGACAGCAGGGCATGACGAAAACAGAAGGGAAAAAAGTTTGAGCCACAGTGACAGACAGCTGGAGTAGCTGGAACACGTTAAAGTTAAAGACTAGATCCTGGTAAAGATAAAAGTTATTCACCAAGCATCTTAGCCCTTAAGAGAGCTCCTAAAGTACTGCTGGTGCTTCCTTTTATAAAATTAGATGAGTGTGTGTCTGTTGCCACATGACATTTAGATGCCACACATTGTTCTAAGGAGCTCTTGTTTTTGTGTAGTATAGTTGGATGTATGTCCTTTCTCTCTGGGATCATCTCTCTGTAGGTTTTCAGCAGGCCAGGCCTCAGCCCTTAAGTCTACATTATGTATTATTTAATCCTTTAAGGCCCAATAGGCTTTCCTTATCCTGATTCTGTGGCATAAAAAAATAATTCTATCATCTCCATGCAGTGTGTACATTGCAGATATTGTTTTTTTCTGTTCCTTAACTCTCTGTCCCAGGCTGGCATGTTTACGGCTTACTGCAGCGTTCAGATAAGAAGTACGATGAAGCCATCAAGTGTTACCGCAACGCTCTGAAGTGGGACAAAGACAACCTGCAGATCCTCAGAGACCTTTCCCTGCTTCAGATCCAGATGCGAGACCTGGAGGGCTACAGGGTGAGGGCTGACAGAGGAACTATAAGTGGATCTTTTGGATGGTTAATGTCTGTAGGAGCCAATTTAGTGTGCGTATAATTATGTATTGTATTCAAATATTTTGGTTTACATGTTTATTTACCTTATTTGCACACTAGATGGTGATAATCGATAATTGGTCAGGTGGTATGGTCACGTCTTTATAGGTCACAGATAAACAGGAAGTTTGTGGCAGAGGTGATGAAACACACAGTTCCTGCCGTATGCGTGACATATAATCTCAGCAACAACCTGGATAATCGTTCATATTATCATCATCATGGTAAATTAGATTTGCTCTATCATCTTTCAATAAAAAGGAAAATCCTCCAAAGTCATTTAGTTAAAGACCAATCATGCACCTACACAGGTGACTCAAAGTATGATTGACTATTTGGACATGGGATAGTCACAACAAAAGTAAGAACCGTTCTGAAGGAGAGTTGAAAGTTGGAGCCAACCCAGAGATGGCGCTTAGAATCCAGTTAAAGGGCGCCAGTGGAGGACGCCGAGCAAAGACACGCTGGTATTTGAATTGTGATCACCATAAGCAAGGTTGACATAAGGCTGCCGCAGATCTAAGGGCAAGGTAAGAGAGGCACCGATGGATAAGCGCTGCTCTCCTCTGGCCCTACGTTTGGAGTTTTTTGGGTTTTATAGAAAATGTTGATGAACATTCAACTGCTGCATGTTGATGAACATGCACCACTCTTGCTATTTTGATCGTTTGCTCTCTGATGTGTCACCAACACACAAGGAGGAACCTTGCGCATTGAATGAACGCTGTAAAAATTTATGGTAATCCTGCAAAAAGTCAAATGGTGAAAGGGAACACAAAAGGGTTGGATGTTTTCCAAATACACAAAAATCTACAATAACTCAAAACAAATCAAACAAAAGGAGGACAACTTGCGCACTCTCAAAATCACATTAAACTCTAGCTGAAGTTGAAAATCTTATAAAGGACTTTAACAAACTACTATGAGGCGTTTGAGGCTCCTTCTATAATGGAAATGTCAATGCCAGAGGATGAAATCTAAAAAGTGACGAACATGGTTTTAACAACACCGTAAATATGAGACATTCTTACACATGGAAATGGCTGATGGACTTCGGAAAATCTCAACATAGGAAATGAAGGCTTAAAACAAAGAGAATGTCTCAGTGATGATGCCTGAAATAGGACCCAATGACTGTATTTCAAATGTTATCACAGATCTCAAACCCATTTGTCTGCCTCGTCCAAAATGTCAAGCACATAAATAAAGGCAGAAGCTGAAAAGGCAGCACTCGTTCAGTGCACGGCTGCATTGGGAAAAAAACTATTTTGCAGGGAGCAGGAGGGAATCGAAGGAAAAGAGAAACTGAACATTTGGAACTAAACAAGCACTTACCAGCGCAAAGCTATCTGTACTGGAAACCAGCCAAGTGGGAAGAGTCAGTGGGAACCATCTGAAGACATGAACTCATACTACAGCAGAGATAATAAATCACCATACAAACCTACCTAATCCCGTTCAAATGACAACACGCCATTGGTGCACATCCTAAAGAAAGATAACAAGCAAAAACTCACAATGGCCACTCCACAGTGACCTACAAGTGGGCATATTTTAAATACACAAATATATGATGTTATGATATGATGATGATCAAGATGGACTGTATTTTTTGGACGACACACCATGGGGGGGGGGGGTCCTTCAGAGTTGGTCAGGAGTTATTTTCATGTACCAACAGATCCAGGATATGGAGGATCAAAGAATGATTTGAAAGAACGCTCTGGAACTGAAATGGAAGTTACAGCAGCTTACATTGAAAAGGCAATGGACCGTCCAGTAACTAAAGAGTACGGCTCTCTGCAGCCATTTTTCATTGTTCTTAAAATGGATGCTCGAGCATGATGGAAAGGTTACACATGGATGAGATGTGTACCTTCAGACCTCAGGCTCATTGTAATGAAGCTCCCATACAAGCTGCGGAAAAAGTGGGGAGGACTTTTTGATAGCTACAGAGCCATTTTCCCCGACTTTGTCAACTTCATTGAAAGACGAGGGAAGTTTCTCCCTGCCCCTGTCTTTGGAAACATCCCAGACACAGTCTTACAAATCTGCATAACCACGTAAAAATCCCTCAGCAAAGAAAGAAGCCATGCTACTCTATCAGCCACCAACACCTCTGAAGATAGCAATAGACTCACAGTGCTGCCACTCAATTTCAGAGAAAATCTGGTCTTTGCTGTGCATGTAAATGTGTGTCATGATTTGGAACATTGTACACATCTCCATGAGTTGACCCACAGTGATATCCTCGGAGAAAAGGGGATTTGCTTTGGCTGTTTGAAACCTGGACACATAAGCAATGAATGTACAAATTCTTCACATCTTCAAACCTCAAATCAGGACCATGTATGTTCCTCTACAAAATAATGTAATGTATTTAAATAGTTACTTAATTTGGACACTATGGTAATAATCTATAGTGTGGGTTCAGGTGTTTATAGGTGAAGAGGAAGTGGCAAAGGTAGTGGGAACACACGGTTCTTACTGTACACATGACAGATGCAGGTGACTAAAGATATGATTCGAGATTTGGACATTTGAAAGTCACTACAATGTATTTTTTTAATGTTAAAATCAAATTACAGTCCCACTGTGGTCAGGGCACATTCTCACCCATTTAGCACCCAGGTGGGAAAAGCAGAATAAAGAAAGTGGGCACTTTTCAATGAACATGTTGACATATCTTGGGGAAAGCACCTTTTAGAAATAAACAACCTTTGTTATACTGGAAGGAGAACCCAGTTGGACAATGGATTGGACATGAAGGAGCATGTCAGTGGGTTCATATCAGGTTCAGGTCTCAGTCGTCACGTTATGTAGAACAGCTCTCCTGGGAAGCCTAAGATCAAGACGTGTATTTAGTAAAAGGTACAGTATGAAATGGCAAGAGGAAGGTCTGGGCTGAAGCACAGGCTGTATATAGATATCTAGGTGTTATTTGCTTTTTGCTCTCTAAACCATGAAACAGCTAAATGACTCATCTCTAAAATGCTAGCTATTCCATCCTACTACACATCACATCGTCAATTCTTAGGTTCACAAATGCAAGAGTCAGAATAGGGAGGAGATGGGCCACTAAGTTCAGCGATATTTTCCCTGGGATGGTTTTGATGTTAAACGGCAAAATAAACCAGTTTGAATATTTCTTTCCTATAGGAGACACGGTACCAGCTGCTGCAGCTGCGTCCAGCACAGCGGGCCTCCTGGATTGGCTACGCCATTGCCTATCACCTCCTGGAGGACTATGAGATGGCTGCTAAGATCATTGAAGAGTTTAGGAAAACACAACAGGTAAACCCAGTAACATGAGAGAAGAAGTGGTGTTTGGATCTGAACTGAGAGACTGACTATGAACAGTGTTGTTTATTCAGATGCCATGAGCACACTATGGTATTATTTCCTTTCATGTTGGCGTCTGGCTGTCTGATGTCTTACTTCCAGTATGAGCTCTGAGGACAGAGACACCTTCTCTTTAACTGGGTCTAAAATATTGGTGTTAAGTGGTCATAACTACAAAAGAGCTCACTCCCCCTCTCTCTTGCTTGCTCCTGATAAGACCAGTCTGCTTCCTGTCTTTGTGCCATCTATGTAATACAACAAGCTGGTCGGACTAGGCAATGGCACACACCTTGAATGTTGCAGAGTTTCTTGACCAGCATTGATAAGAAGTCCACCCAGCAGCTTGTTTTACTAACAGCTCTTTGTTTGTCCAGACGTCTCCAGACAAAGTGGACTATGAATACAGTGAATTGCTGCTGTACCAGAACCAGGTCCTGAGGGAGGCAGGCCTGTATAAAGAGGCGCTGGAGCATCTGTCCAACTACGAGAAGCAGATCTGTGACAAACTGGCTGTGGAGGAGACACGAGGTAGGTCACAGTCTTCAATGTTTCCGCTGAATTCAAAACCTCTCAAGTCTCATCTTGGCCGGTTGTGGCTCAAACACTTCTTGAACAGTGAATGTAAACTAAAAGTGTTCAAACTGAATATTGACAAAAACATCCAGCTTCATCAGCAAGGTAGTCTAGTCTTGAATCTAAAATTATGATGGCCATGAGGTGATTTAATAGAGGTGGGGTAAAAAATTGATACAGTATAGTATCGCTATTTTTTGTGTGGCCATATTATATCATGTCATGATATTGATATTATGTATATTTTTTATATGATATTTTAGATATGCTTTTCAAATGTTTAACTGCTGAAGGGTTACACAATTCATTTGGAACAAGTTGCAATGTTAAGAAATCATGTTCAAGTTCAATTAGACTGAAATACAAATAAACAGACTTAAGAGAGATGAACAGATCCAGAACTTTATCTTATTTGACTAAACTGTTCTTGATTTAGTTTAGTGTAGTGGACATAATATGCTGTTAAAAAGTTAATCACAATATTTTGTATCGCAATTCTCAGCATATCGAAAAATTTTAAAAATCGCAATCGTATCGTTGGGACTCTGGTGATTCCCACCCCCTATGATTTAACCTTTTATTATTTTGCAATTTCCATCCACAGGTTTTAATTCGAGCCATTTAACGCTAGGGTAGGGAATTAATTTTGTGTTAAATTTGTTTAAATGATCTCAATATTTCTGCAGCAATGAATAAAACTAATGTCCTAGCATGAAACAGTAAGAAGTCTTGTTCTGTCATAGGCCAGTAATAAGTGTGTCAAAAACTTCATTTGGTAGAAATGATTGGATCTTATCTCGAAACATGCCCTCCTTGGGTTACTCTACTTGTGTACTCATTAAGTCTTCCATAACCATTCATTGGTAGGATACTTAAAAATGTTTCTCTTTCATGTTTTTCTAAAGTCGCCAGCTCTTATTCATTACTTAGCCTTATTGATAAGAAAACTTAAAGCAATATTTGTAAATGTTGTGAAAAGTCGTAATACTCAACAGAACAGGTGACCCAACACTCTGTGGTAACTTCATTCTGCTGTGTTCACCAGGAGAATGTCAAAAGTTTGATGACTCTTCCAATTTTTGATAAACTGTGTTTTAGAAAAAGTCACTTTGAAGCTTTCTTAACTTTATTGAAGATTTATTTTTGGACTTTTTGTGCCTTTTAATGGAGAGATAGGACAGTGGATAGAGTTGGAAATCAGGGAGCGAGAGGATGGGGAATGACATGCGGGAAAGGAGCCACAGATTGGATTAGAACCTGAGCCGCACGCTTGGAGGACTACAGCCTCCATACATGGGGCACTCGCACTAACCACTGCGCCACCAGCGCCCCTTGAAGTCTGATTTTATACAATGGGGTCTGGTTGGATTTAGCAGCTTCTGACACTGGAGCTCTTACCTCTGCTTAACAGGAGAGATACTGTTAAAATTGGAGCGTCTGGACGAAGCAACTGAAGTTTACCGCCGTCTGCAGGAGAGGAACCCGGAGAACTGGTCCTATTACCGCGGCTTGGAAAATGCACTCAAACCAAGTATGACGACTTCATCTTTAAAAAAACAGATCAGTGGCATCACCAATGACTATTAAAATATCCTAATTCATTCATTTATTCATGTAACTATCTTACAGACAGTGTGGAGGAGAGACACAAGATCTATGAGGACGCCTGGGAGAAGTTTCCCAGAGGCCTGGTTCCTCGTCGGCTGCCCCTCACCTTCCTCTCTGGTTTGTTCTAAAAATATGTCTTCTTTCACCTAAAACTCCATAACATTGTAATGGAAGTGCAGTAAGTGATATTCTCCATCTCTTCACAGGTGAGAAGTTCAGAGAGTGTCTGGACAGATATTTAAGGATGAACTTCAGTAAAGGCTGTCCGCCTGTCTTCACCACTCTCAAATCACTGTACAACGACAAAGAAAAGGTGACAGCACTGTTTTTGAACATGTCAGATGACTGCTCTAGATCTGAATCATTTAAACCATCTTACAAAATGCACAGATGGCAGCGAGGTCATTCTGAGGGAGAGCCTCTAGTGAAATAGATTACAACTATTCTTTGTTGCCCGCAAGGTAATGTTTTGTGTCCTTTTTCTCTTTTCAGGTGTCAATAATCGAGGATTTGGTGGTCGGCTATGAAACCACATTAAAAAGTTGTAGAATGTTCAACCAGAATGGTGAGGGAGACATTTCTAAATTTGAATGATAATGGTGTTTTGTTTTTCTATTAATTCTATTGTGTGCATTGTAGCATCTCGTAGCTTTTAAATTGTAATCCTTAATCCTTGCAATCCTACAGTTGTGGTAAATTGGCTGGTGGTAATGGCAGTGACTGTTAAATATAAATACTTCAGGGAACTCTTAGTGAGCATCTACTTTGTCAGATATAGTATAGAGGAGCAACACATCTAAAATAAGATTATTTTAAAGGAGCAATATGTAACTGTGACACCTACTGTTAAAAATGGAACTTCTCCACACAGACTGTCAAACAGCGCTGCGTTACAGACAGCAAATATATTTTTATTATTTCTCAAATTCCTGATCTGATCAAATGATCCAAATTATCTGTGACTTTTTTATTATATTATTTGACATAATACCTTAGTAACTCAAATAAATGTACTTAAACAAATGTGTTTATGAAATAACAGGAATTGCACAGATTTCTGTCAAATAAGGTAATACAGACTTGTAGACTATACTGTTATACGAGGGTCGAACGTTTACTACAGCGTGTATAGTCCCCCACCAAAGGCCCATTCTGAGCCAGGAAAAACCCTGTACTGTATATCCTAGTTTTACCACGATCCTGGTCATAGAGCTTGTTAGAAAAATGCCAAAGCTTTTTAGGTCGGGTAGAATCAGTTATACCTGAACCAGTTCACTTTCCCGCTTCTATCACTGCAACACCTGTTGGTTTACTGTTTGCCTGGCAAACCAGGAGGCGAGGGGAAAAACCACCGTGTGGAGGTTTCGCTGGTCAAAACAAACACAGACCCTTCTGAATAAAAATCTTAGAAAGAGGACATACTGGCTGCTGCATTTTTAAAGAGAAGCCAGCACTTTAACACTTGTTTTCTTATTTATTTATTTATTTTTTGAAAACCTATTACTTATTAATTTAAAAACCGAGGACGATGCATGCACAACAGCATGGCCGACTGTAAACTTCACAAACTGAACATTAAACACTGACAGGCAATTTTTAAACTTTACCAGGAGTCTAGATAACCCCAGAGGTGTCCTCCTCTCTCAAACATAAGAGAAAGTGATTGAACGCAGCAGGAACTCTGAATAAGTTATCTTCAAGTCCAATTTCAGTCTTTCTCTGATGCTAATAAGAACCCACAGGAGGTCTGTAGGGATTGTGAAGAAAGCCTGAAACAAAGTAACAAACCTATAAATGTTGAGGCAGCAGTTCAGCTCCGAGATCAGGGCTCAAGGTTTTTATGGGGAGAGTAATAATAAACATAGGTTTCCTTCCTGTAAATAGATTAATGCACTCTTAGAAAAAAAAAAAGCTGATTTGACATTTGATCTGTTCTCATGAAAATCTTGAGGTTTAAAACTATAAAAATGTGTTTGATATAACTCTATTTTTTAACCTTCAAAGTGTATTTGTTGCCATCTTTTGTTTAGAACCCTGACATCACACTAACCTTATCTCCTTCTCCCTGCACCGTGTTAGATGACGGGAAAGAGGAACCACCGACCACTTTGCTCTGGGTGCAGTACTTCCTGGCGCAGCACTTCGACATGATTGGCCAACAGACACTGTCCCTAGAATACATCAACGCAGCCATTGAGAGTACACCTACACTCATCGAACTCTTCCTAATCAAAGCCAAGATTTACAAGGTAACGAAGGCCACACATTTATGTGTTTGCTCTCTGAACTGAGAAGCATAGTTTGATATCTGTTTACTAACCTTTATCCTCCCGCAGCATGCTGGGAACATCAAGGAGGCTGCTCAGTGGATGGATGAGGCCCAGGCTCTGGACACAGCTGACAGATTTATCAACTCCAAGTGTGCCAAGTACATGCTGAAGGCTGGCATGATCAGGGAGGCGGAAGAAATGTGCTCCAAGTTCACACGGGTGAGAAAAACTGTGTGCACACAAGTACATACTGACAGCTGACAAGTATGAAAATATCAACACATACTCATGGTTCTATTTCCTGTTGAGTCCATTCATGAAGAACTTGGAGATCTTGGAGGAAGTTATTCACTTTGGAAGATTCATGGAGGATTAAAAACACAGGATTGAGGCTTCATTAGCAGTGAAAGTCATAATATATTTAGGATTTATTATTGATATGACGAGAGGGCCTTGAGGGACTTGTATTAATGACTCTGGTTACTTTATGTTTAGAAATATGAGAATAGGTGGAGGCTGTGATGTGAGTAAAGACAAAAAACCTTGTGAATATTTTAAAAGATACCGGTAATACTTTTTCTAGTTCAGCTGTAGCTAATGTGTCACAAACAGTTGTTTGTAGTTCAGTCTCTCTGATTGGCAGTTCAGCAAAGCGAAACAGGAGAGCCAGTGCACGAGAAGAAATATGGAAGCGCATCTAATATTCTTCTTCCACTAATAAAAGACCAAGGGCTGACAACACCAGCGCCATTTTCTACTTTTCAAAGGCCTACCTCACCACGAGTGTTGAGCGACAGTGAGAAATCTTCTCGTATCATAACAACGGTTTATTTTCTTCCTCGTCCTCTTCAGTTTTCCCCTTTTTGGAATGACGATTTCAGACTACCGCCCCCTGCTGACATGGAGAGTTATTGCCTCTCAAACATGTGCAGAATGTACGTGGTGGTTGGCCATCGGCTGAAGTCTTTGCGGTGTGTTCTAGTGCAACTTTTTGGCCAAGACGAAAGGCGTCCCCCGCTGACACCACAGGCAGCCTTCGTCGCCACCAGTTCTTGGCTGTCTGCTTGTTGTGTCAGTTATTCTCTGTGCACCAGCTGGACTTCTTTAACACCTAGGATTGAGAAGGTGTCATTTTAGAAAGTCAGACTAGTCTCTGAGGTGATACAAACTGAAAAAACTTAGACTGATAGGTGTTGTCATTGATCAGGCAAAGTGTACTCGGACAGTGAGCCAACCGAAAGGCTTAATTTGTCAGATGGAGTCTGTATGAATTGAGGAGCTCTCCCCTCAACTACATCATTTTTTTTCTTGATTTTATTTGTAAGGGACCATGTGCAATTAAAAGATAAATGTAACCATTTAATGCATTGCACCAGAGTTAGCCTTAGGGTAATTTACATCTGCAGTCTCTTGGCTATCATGTGTCATACAGAGACACAGAGCTGTCCCTCTCTGCAGCTGCTTATTGCTTTCAGACTGTGGTCCCACTTTTTAACAGCTTTTTCAGTCATTATGTCATAATAGTCCATTTAAAGAAAACGTTGAAATACTATTTAGTACATGAATGTTGTGTGGTGCTTGTATAAAAGACTCCAGAACTCAAGAGAGCAGAGCCGGGTGGACAGGAGTGGCATTTTTAAAACATGGTTGATGTTCATCTGACACCAGCATGCTGGGCCATAACTAAAGAAGTGTTTCTATGTATGGTTCTATAAGCTTCAAACTTCAACCTTCTTTTAACACACAAGCAGATTTAAGATGCAAGCAGAACTTAGAGTTAGAATAATATTGCTTAATGTTGTTAGATGCATTGACGGGAATCAAGTGCTGGTGTTTAGTTTTGTCTTTATGTTCTCTGTGTAACTGCACAAGTTTTCTTATCATACTACCTGTACATTTAGGATTTCTATACTTTTGCTTTGTGTTATCCATATCACCTGTCGACAGATTGACAGGAGATTTGTGTGTGCTACTTGGCGACACTCATTGCACAGTGAATGTTCACATTCAAGTCAAAATTTTAAGGCGGTCAGTTGTAGCTAAGTCGAGACGTGAGGTGAGACCCATTATATTTACACTCAGCTGGTGCATCCTGCAGTTGGTGCCTAAAATGAAAAAGGGGACCACATCTGCAAACAATTTCACACCCTGAACATGCCCGTTCATGAGACATTACACATGAGAGTTAATTACTGCTTTCTAAGTAAGGAGCTCATGGACCTTGTTTTCCTCCCAATTTGCAGTCAGGGTTGGTTGGTTAGTTAGTTTCTGACTACGTGAACACACTTCCTCCTTTATATTTCATGTCATTACAATTCACACCCTGTCACATTCTTCCAACTCCCCTATTTAGCCAGAGATCAAGTAGTCTTCTTTTTTTTACAAACTCTGCTGCATAACAGAGGAACAACAATGCTCCCATCGGGTCCTGTTGAAAGAAAAACAGTGCTGCATTGACATCTGATAGTTTGTGTGACATGAGCTTGTTGTGCTTTCTTTTTGTTCAGGAGGGAGCGTCAGCAGTTGAGAACCTCAATGAGATGCAGTGTATGTGGTTCCAGACAGAGTGTGCACTCGCATACAAGGGCATGAACAAGTTTGGGGATGCCCTGAAGAAGTGCCATGAAATTGAACGGGTGAGCCCTTGTGATTGGGAGTTATACTCACATATTATAACTATGTTTTTCATGGGTCATATCCTTTATTCACTTTGGTCTTGCATTACTTTCATCAGCATTTTGTGGAGATAACGGACGACCAGTTTGACTTCCACACCTACTGCATGAGGAAAATGACGCTACGCTCGTATGTGGACCTGCTTAAATTAGAGGACGTGCTCCGGATGCATCCCTTCTACTATAAGGCGGCCATCACGGCCATACAGATCTACCTGAGCCTCCACGACAATCCCCTGACGGATGACAGCAAGGAGCTGCAGGCAGACACTGGTGAGGGTGCATGACTTGTGAAAACAAAGTTACAAATCGTAATAGACACTTGGTGAGAACTATTGTGATTTATGATACATACAAGTTATCATATAATATATATATATATATATATATATATACATACATACATACATACATACATATAAGTTATCAGGCATCACTGATCCCTGATGAATACCCCGCTTCTTTCTCTTAGCTAATCTTTCGGACAAAGAGCTGAAGAAGTTGAGGAACAAGCAGAGGAGGGCCCAGAAGAAGGCCCAGCTGGAGGAGGAGAAGAAAAATGCAGAGAAGGAGAAGCAGCTTAAGAACCAGAAGAAGAAGAAGGAGGATGATGACGAGGAGATCGGAGGTCCCAAGGAAGAGCTAATTCCTGACAAACTGGTCAAGGTGAGAAAGAGAAACCTAAAGATTCCTTGCCTGTACACGTGAACATCAAGTTATCCATAGAGCAAAACCAGTGAAAGTGATGACTGTTTTTCTGTTTACAGGTAGAAAATCCACTGGAAGAAGCAGTCAAGTTCTTGATGCCTCTAAAACATCTGGTCAAGGACAAAATCGACACACACCTACTGGCCTTTGAGATCTACTTCAGGAAAGGTCAGCGTGCACTCTTATGTATGAAATACTTTCCTGACTCCTATTCAGTTGAAAGGTGTCAGGAATTTGTGCGATATTTGAATACTTTGTTACTCAGATTTACAATCTTCTCTTTTCAGAAAAATACCTGTTAATGCTCCAGTCGGTGAAGGGAGCGTTGGCCATCGACGCAGATCACCCGTGGTTACACCAGTGTCTTGTTCGCTTCTTTAAAGGAGGTATGAGATTGTTTTGAGCATTTTCATTGTGTGTATATGAGGCCTAGCAGAAGGCACCTTGACGTCTGCCAGCTAAGTTAAAGGGATAGTATGCATCGCATTCGTACCAAAATTGAAGCATACAGTATACTAAATAATGCACAGAGCTTTAAAGTTGTTGATGTTTTCACCAGTTGGCATACGGTTTGCCGCCATACGGTTTAACTACTTAGCAAGATCAACCCAAAGTAACCCAATAGTAACTAGCTGAAAGGGGGCATATCCCCACCTAGTACAGTGGAATTGGACATACTTTTAATTCCTCAACATAAGTCCCACCGGTATATTAGACGCAGTCTGTTTTGGGGGGTTTCCAAAAGAGATACATTTTAAACTTTCTAACTGAGGACGGTTGCACTGGTATATACTGTAGGATGGAACCAACTTTCTGGATGTAAAAATAAAAGTACATTTTATACACTGGATTTTACCCCAGTGCTGTACACTGGGACAAGGACAGTTTTCCAATTGAATTGACTAATTGAGCTTTTACCATAGTTTGACTTAACTGTTTATGTGGACGTACTAAGTGTGCCTCATGCGTTTCCGCAATTACATGACACAATGTGGAATCCCACTCTGAGACACTGTTATAATGCTGAAACAGTTTATGAGGACAAAGGCTTAATCATGGCGGAGCTTTGTTACGAGGCTATTGTGAATCTACTCAGTGCTTTCCCATTTATTCCCACCATAGCTCCTAACTCTCTCCTCTCTTTGTTTCAGTCTCAGAGAGTAAGGAGCTGCCGGAGGTGGTCAGGACGGTGCTGAAGCAGGAGATCGCCCGGCTGTTTGGGGACAGCAACGCAAAGAGCTTTAACCAGGCCTACCTCACCAAGCACTCAAACTCCATACCACATCGACTTGCTGGTAGGCCTCTCAGACATTTGCAAAATGTAGTTTTTAATGATAAAACTATACTGACACATCTTTGAATATAAGTTTATTCTGATATTAGAGACAAAACACAAGTTAAAGTTGAGGTCTCTGTGAAGGGGTGCACCAATCGATCGGCATGCGACCGGAACCTCACAAGTATAGCTGATTTTAGGCCGATCACACACACACACGAGTCGTTTCTTGCACTGTGCAGCAACACAAACACTAAGGGACGGCCACACACAGCAAGCTAACATGTCGACAGTGTAGACATGAGATGCCGATCAGCAGAGGAGAAAAAGGTACATGTAGTTTTAGGCCAGTGTGTGCGCTCTCACAGGCTTGGGGAGCGCAGAACATTAAAATATTTAATTATTGTCTCCGTAATATTATTTGGTTACGGAGGGACACCTAAAATTCCAGTGTATGAGCACATTTAGAAGTAGCCTACAACTTTGCAGGAAATATTAGGCTATTGATTAATATAGATAATTTACGGATAAACCTGATTTAAACTCTTACATAGCAATCACAAAGTCAGAGAGAGGCAGACAGGTGAGAGTCTGTAAGCTGAACAGAGTGAAGCAGTAAACTTCTCTGTTTTTAAAATTTTATCTATTTATGAGATTAAAAACCTAAAGGGATAAAGAGTGTTACTGAAAATTTAATGCAGAGAATTCAGTTAATGAGTTATTGTGAAAGATCATTGAATACATTTTTGTTTGTTTTTCTTTACACAGACACTTCCACCATATAAATGATGGCTTTAAACTAAAGTAGAATCCAGACCTGTACCTGTAACAAAGGGTTTGATTTTCAAAATCTTCAAGTGGAGATTCATTTGAGTGAGCATGAGAGATTGTCATTGCAGCAGTTTTCATATTTTTTACAGTCAGGTTTTATTATAAATAAAAAGATACTTAAATCAAAGACATTTTCCAAATTTTCTTTGCTGTTGCTGTCAATAATAGAGCTTTAAAGATAGAAAATGGGTATCGGCAGGTAAAAATCGGAATCGGCCAAACAAAGTGTAATCTGTGCATCTGTAGTCTCTATGCCACTTTCCTGTAGTTTTTCTGGTTTCTTTTTTAGTTACTAATTTCAAACAATCTCAATACATATAATAGGGGACGACTTGTAGCAAAGGGCAGAGGCGAGAATTGAACCCATGACGATGAGGACTACATCTTCTGTACATGGGGCCCATGTCATACCCTTATATCCCACTTTCACACTTTCTCTTGTTTAGTGAGAAATCTTAACAGATACAGTTCTTCACTTCCTCTGTTGTAAAGGAGGATCTACATTCTATAGATAGTAGGAAAATAATCCAGATCCATACTTCTAAAATTCCTTTACGTCTAGTGCTACCCACAACACGACATTATCACAATACAATTGGGGTGCTGGTAGCACAGTGGTTAGTGCGCACGCCCCTCTCCTGGAGGATGTAGTCCTTGAGAGGGGCGGCCCAGGTTCGAATCCAACCAGTGGCTCCATTCCCGCATGTCATTCCTGGCTGAGGGGCGGCTGTGGCTCAGTTGGTAGAGTCGTCACCTCTCAACCAGAAGGTCGAGGGTTCAATCCCCAGCTAAGCAACGTGTCCTTGTGTCTTTGTTTTAATTGTACTCTCAACAGCATTGAATGAGGGATTGCCCTCAATGATTTCTCAATCAAATAGAGGTTGAATGAAAGATAGTTCATTTATTTTCTGTCCTCAGATAAGATGCGAGTTGCTACAATTCTTCAATAGAAGTGTGTTTTGTCTTGGAATGATGTTTGACATGACCTCACTCACTGATCATGAGCGTATTGAAACATATGATGATTCTGGCTTTAAACCGCCCTCTGGGGAAGATGAACATAGAAGAGTCCATCCATTCATGGACCTCACCTGGGTCCAGATTTGGACAGAGGCCCACCGTTTGTGGCCGTAACAACAACCTGACAATCTACCCTTTCCCCCTAGACATTCCCCCACCCTTTTTTCTTTTTTTCAAAAGTTTCAGACCTCACCTGTAACAAATGTGCATGTTGTATATAAGACTCATAGTTGCTCTTCTCTCCCTCCTGCAGCTGCTAAGATGATGGTGTATCTGGACTCATCGACAGAAACGAAGGCAGCAGAACTGGCAACTTCACTAGACGAGTCACTCAACAACAGAACAATACAGGTTTGCATCTAATGATTACATGATCAGTGTTAAAATACTGGCTTTGATTGCACTCAGAGTTTATCATCGTTTTTTTATACAGCTTAGTTGGAGTGAATAAAATACTATGAATAATATTTCAGTTAATAATTCTTTGTCTTTCCTCATCAGATCTGCACAGAGGTCCTGGAGTGTCTTCGGAGCGGCCTCCTGGGCGATTTTAAGGACCGCGCTGAGTCGTACCGCACTGAGTGTCACAAGCTTTATCCCTACACGTTAGCTTTCACTCCCCCAGGATACGAGGAGAACACCAAGATCGCCAATGGAGATGTTTCTACAGAAACAGAGGAGATGGCCAATGAGATGTGAGCAGGACAGAACAACAGTGGATGAGGAAAAAGGAACAGGGCCGAGCATGAAGCCTTGTGGTACGCCTGGCAGCCATTTTGTAGAGCCAGACATGGGAAGCAAGAAAGGGTGTTTCGGTCTTTGGCTCAGCTTAATCGGGTCTGACTTGGCATGGCTTGGCTCTCTCCCACATGGTGAAAATCAGGTGTGTGTGTGTGTGTGTGTGTGTGTGTGTGTGTGTGTGTGTGTGTGTGTGTGTGTGTGTGTGTGTGTGTGTGTGTGTGTGTGTGTGTGTGTGTGTGTGTGTGTGTGTGTGTGTGTGTGTGTGTGTGTGTGTGTGTGTGTGTGTGTGTGTGTGTGTGTGTGTGTGTGTGTGTGTGTGTGTGTGTGTGTGTGTGTGTGTGTGTGTGTGTGTGTGTGTGTGTGTGTGTGTGTGTGTGTGTGTGTGTGTTGTGGGAAAGGGGGGAAAAGAGGAAGACAACCGAATGGCCATTGAACTTTTTTTAATAGAGCTGAAAACTATGCTCAATCGGAAAATAAACAGTAGTTATTGGCAAACTGTTGGGAGAAACTGTGACAGACTGACACAGACGTTTTGTTTCTTCAAATACGATCAACAACGGTGACAGCAACCACTCGAGTTTGACTCTGTGCTGCCCCAACACATGTCTATCACATACTGTGTTCCCCTCATTTTAAAATGTTAATTTAAATAAAGTAGGACACTGCTGTCCCGGGGGAACTGGAGACTGAGCTGAGTGGATCTGACCTGCCACAGATCTGAAGGAAGCTGAGCAGAAAGAGTTACCAAGGACCCTGAAGCAGACACCGAAGACATCCAGTAACCACAGGTGTTTCTGCATTTGCTGTTGCTCTATTGAACCAATTATCTACATGTGACATCACCAGAGTGTGTGAGGAAGAGGCCAATCCTCATATGTTACCAGTTGTTTTTTTATCAAACTGTGCTTCCCTCACAGCTCCCAGCTTAGCTTGGGAATATGTTATCCTTTGTCTGTAATATTGGAGCACCTTGTAGCACAGATTAAAAACTGTAAAGGTTGTGTATCGGGCTCCATTTCAAATACACTGTTTCTCTTAACATTTTACATAGTTCTGAGAAAGTTGGATAGATCCAAGCAATACCATAGATACCTTCCTCTCCAATGGATCAATAAAACTTGATGATTATGATTTCTAGATCTGGTTGAAGTGGTGACACCGAGCCTTCTGGCAGAGCATTTGTGTTGTGGCTGTTGTCACTGCTAGAGATGGTTTCATCTGCATGTAACAGAGTCTAATATTGGAGTTGAAAAAGCTTCCAGGACACCTCACTCCTACAGCTCCTCTTGGTTTAATAAAAATGGCTCCTCTAAAGGTCAGAGTTCAGGCTCCAGGGACGTTAACCCGGAGTAGGAAAACGTTTCAAGGAGAGTAAACATACAAGTTGGAATTTGTCATTTTACTTTCTCTGTTCCCCCTTTTTTTTCTCCAGCAATCTCTTTTCTTCCCTTTTTCCTCTAATTTGGGTTCTAATGTGAAAGATGAAATCTGAGATGGTGATGTAAGATATCTCTGGATTTTTGTATTAAAACTAAACAAAAGAAAACAATTGACTTCCGTGCAAGCCTTTTTTGGAGCTTCTGGTTGGTATCTACTTGTGTCTTTGGTTCAGATGTGAGATGCTGCTCAGTTTGGGCCTGTTCAATGTGGGAACGTAAACACTAATGATCATTATTGTATTTCTTCACCACTAATCTGGGTCTCCACATGGATTGCAACACTTAATCAAAGCAAAACTTATCATACCCTGACCATGTTATTGAAAACATGTCACATGTCACAAGTTATGGTGGTCACATTTTTATAGACTTTTCTAGTTGGTGTTCAGACTTGAATGATCATATACATAAACTTTCCAAGTCCAGAAGTCATTTTTGAAGTTATTCCAACATGACATGAATGCAAAGTAGAACCCTTGATGAGTTTGACATTAAACTCTATTTACTACAATTTAAACACAAAAAAAAAATCAAAAATCTTGATTGTGATTTTTCAGTTTCTCAATGTGTAAATAACCCTCGCTCTTTCTAAAATTACTCAGACATTGTTTTACATTACAAGGCTGTAGTTTCGTTTTTTTCACATCAGTAATTAATAGATAGGTTGCTGGGTATTCTTGTTAAAAGCGTCTCACCAAAGTTTTTGATCAAAAACAAAAAGGACTCTGGAGAGATTTTGACTCCTGAATTGGGATGAAGAAATTCTCCCTGGACTAACAACACATAGTTGATGTTGAGACAAACGTGGTTTTAACTACGAGCTTGAATGGGGATACATCTGACGGAGAAGTGACTTTAATGGACAGTGGGTCCAGCAGGATTTTAAAGTGAAATACAAGAGTGTAAAGTAAATCCTGTAGGGGGCAGCAGCATGTTGCTCTCAGGGAAATTGAGTAGTAGGAGCTGTTGCAGGGTTGAAGTGAGAAGTTGGCATAAATGGGTTACTGACAGGACATATCAGGCACAGGTCGGTTGCTGGACCGGAAAAAAAGCAATAATGCGAAAAGAAAAGTAAGGCATCCATATAGGTAGTCACAAAACATCATAGAAGAAAAACCATCACTAGGGTCAAAAATTACAAAAAAGTGCAAAATAACCAGAGACACAAAACAAATACTAAAGGATGTAAATTAATCTCGAATGACTTTAGGCCTACCTGTGACTCTATCTGTGATGTATTAAGGGCTGGAGGGTCTCTACGTGTTTTTGAAATTCCGCGATTACAAAAATGGACGAGAATTTAGTTTTTTTTCATTTAGTGAGATGTTACTAAATGTTCAGGGACCTTTATTAAAACAATTGTGTTCATTTTCTTAAGTAACCGATCCCTTAAATATTTGCAGAGGAATCCACCCGAACCAAAGCAAAGCCATATGCTGATGCCTGCTTGTCATATGATCAACTCTCCACCCTCACACTCCAATAATCACCACGCTGCCAACTGAAGCAGAGAGGCAAACCCTACACACTTCTCCTCTCATTCAGCTTACTTAACGAGGGAATACTTTTCAGTGAGTTATTTATCGGAAACTTAAACATTAAAATATTTTTTTTCTAGGAACAAGCGACCTTACATCTCTACTATTTGTCTTTGGGATCAACTAAAACATTTTTTCCTACAGGATTGTTCTTTTTCTTGACCTGTAAATGGAGTCATCTCTTGAGTTGTCAAACTCTATGAGCAGCGTGTCCTCGCTGCTGAATCGCTCCCGCACCTTTAAAGTTCTGGTGATCGGAGACTCCGGGGTGGGGAAGACCTGCCTCACACACCGACTCTGTGCCGGGGAGTTCCCCAGCAGAGTGGAGGCTACCATCGGGGTGGACTTCCGCGAGAAAGTCCTGGATGTCGACGGAGAGAAAATCAAGGTAAGTGACAAACTTAGTGCATCACTTGAAGTAAAAACATTCAACTACAGCAAACCTCTGGTTCAACTCAACGTGCCACTTTAACGCACAGTGGTGATCTTCAATCCGGTGTTGTTTTCAAATGTTTAACAAACTGAAATGTAAATGATGTTAGCTTTTTGAGGTTGCATGTAACCTAAATCACTTTCCAAAAATCTGTTAAAATCAGAGCTGCTCACTGGCAATGTGTGAGAAAGGTCATCATAAATGTGTGTTAGATTCAATCAGGTGATGTAAGTGTACGTTTTAAATGTGACATTATTGTATTTTATCCAGCATTGTTAGCCTTAAATATCCCCTGAGGCTCTTTGGTAGAGTCCTGCAGTGTAGCTGGGCTGAATGAGTTATTTGTCCCATAAAACCAATGACTGAGAATTCTCTGGATTTCACACAATCAGCAGACCTAATGCACAGCTAATGCTGCTTGTAAATCACTCTGAACATTACATGCTTCATTAAAGAAAATAGATATAAATTCAGGTCTGATTTTGGTACCCTGCAGTTAAGGTGTGAACATTTTTAATTTATCACCATCTTGTAAATACAACTGACTGTTGTCTTTTAATTTGCTGGGTGTGAGGGGTAGTTGTTTAGAACTGGAGCTGGTTATGAGCTTTGTGTTCAGTTTTGTGTCATTGTGCCTGTCAAAGAAACATCTCATGTACCTCAATTGTTTGTGGATGTTGCCCTGAGTTCATCAAACTCAGTATCATTTTACCAAACCAAGTCTCAAGTCACCAAACATGAGTCCCAACACAAGTCAACAAAGAAAAGCTTTAAGAAAAGTCATAGGTCACTTACGGTCAGACTGTGAAAAGTCTAAGTTTCAAGTCTGTCAATATAAGTTCTCAATTGGTCTCATCTTATCAGGTTAAAGGTCAGTCCAGGTCCTAGGCTTAAAAAAAAAAAGTTAAGCCTCAAACCAAGTGTACAGTATGTCCCAACAAGTCTCAAGTCAATCTCGTAAAGTCCTAAACTCAAAGTTTTGTCGACCATGTCTCCTCTCTACCAGGTCAAGTCATTTTAAGACTCAAGAGAAGTCCCTATCGTAAATAATCCTGTCCACAACGACTAGTTTTTAATCAATCTTTACACGTTTTCAATTTAATTCAAGGTTTATCGAGTCAGGTCCAAATAGGTAATGTCAGCTATGTCTCCTGTCAAAACTCAGGTTAAACCAAGTCACAAGTCTATCATAACATGTTTCAAGACAAGTCATGAGACAAGTGGGTTAAGTTGTGAATCAAGTTTAAAGTAAGTGAAGTCAAGGCTTGAACCAAGTCTCAAGTCTCTTCAGAAAGTTGTTAGTCCAAACCGAGTCGCAAGTCTGCCATGTTTCAAGACCAGTCATGAGACAGTTGGGTAATGTTGTGAGTCAGGTCTCAAGCCAAGTCTCAAATCAATGAAGTAAAGTGTTAGTCCAAACCAATTCTCAGCTCTATCATGGCAAGTTTTAAGACATGACATAAATCATTCAAGTCTCAGTAAAAGTCTGAAGGTAAACAGTTCAGGTCTCATGTCCACTGTCTCTCTTGCCATACAAGTTAAATCTCAGTCCAAACAGTTTATTTAGAACTTTTCTAAAAGAGGGTTTTAGAGTGACATTCTGACAAAGCCCAACAGATAGATCAGACTTTCTAACCATCAGAACATGTTCCCTCTCTGTGATGACTCATTGCCATGCTCTGCATGTGGTGTTTTTTGTGCCTGTTTTGTGGTATTTCACAACATGTTTTCTATTCCTTTCCGTGCCTTCCTACTCATTAGCTTCCTCTTTAGCCGTTTTCACATATGCACTCCAGATAATATCTAGATATTTACAGGAGGACTTCTCCGGAGATTCTCCCGACCTAGCCGTTCACATATGCTCCTCACAGCGGGGGACTTTCCCTGTCTGGTGGTCTGCTACACGACGTTATAATGAGAATATTTGTCTTTATATCAATGCTATGTGTAATCCAATGGAATGACAACATCCACAAAAGAGAGGAGAACAACATACTGACGAACAGAAAACAGAATGCAGACGTTTAATTATAGCACAGAGATCGTAGTGGTCGCGTGCAGACACTTTAAACAGTCACTATATATAAACGTCATTCTCTTTCTATTGGCTCGAGTTGAAATCTCCAGAGTATATGCTGCCACGTTCAGACATCAGCTCACTTGGATATTCTGTAGATAAAATACTAGAGGTCTGGAGGAGAAACTCCAGGTAAAGTCTGCGTGAAAACTGTGTCTGTTTGCATTCACACATAGCCTAAAGAACCTCCGGGTAGACAAATCTCCAGAGTTTTTCAGGAGATTTCTGTATGTGTGAAAAGGGTTGTTCTTATGTTTTGTGTCCTATGCCCTCTCCCCTCCAGCTCCAGCTGTGGGACACAGCAGGACAGGAGCGTTTCCGTAAGTCCATGGTGCAACACTACTATCGCAACGTCCATGCTGTGCTCTTCATATACGACGTGATCCGCCCTGCCAGCTTCAACGGCCTGACTGCCTGGGTGGAGGAGTGCAGGCAGAACTCCCTCGGACATGACATCCCCAGGTAACTACACCAACACTCTGTTTGTACCAGTCTGTTCCAGCTCAGCCTCTCTCATTTGTCTGTCCCCGCTGTGTGACTTCCTCTCAGGTTCCTGGTGGGTAATAAGAGTGACCTCCGTGACCCCCGGAGGACCGAGGGCCAGGTCAACCAGGAGCTGGCAATGAGTTACGCCAAGGCCAATGGCATGTTGTTTTTTGAGACTTCTGCCAAAAACCCACCAGACAAATGTGTGACGGTTCGACAGGGTAAAGGGGAGGTGCCTTATCAGCAGGACAAGCTGGAGGACATCGTTGTTGCTCTCGGCGCCAAGTTAAAGAGGCAGAAGAAAGTTTCAGGAGCGAACGCCACAGCGTGCAACAAGTCCTTTAACGTGAGCAGGAAACGGGCAGAGAAGGAGCAGTGGACATGCTGCTGAGACAAAGAGGACTTTCAGATGGCAGAATGTGAGTTTTTACTGTGATTGTGTGTGTGTGTGTGTGTGTGTGTGTGTGTGTGTGTGTGTGTGTGTGTGTGTGTGTGTGTGTGTGTGTGTGTGTGTGTGTGTGTGTGTGTGTGTGTGTGTGTGTGTGTGTGTGTGTGTGTGTGTGTGTGTGTGTGTGTGTGTGTGTGTGTGTGTGTGTGTGTGTGTGTGTGTGTGAGTGAATATTATTTGCGATGTTCACTTTTGACCAAAGATCAGAAATGCAGTTTTACTATACTTTCATATATAGCCCTACATTTTTAAAGAAACGAGATGTAATACTGGAAATGTTGTGTAAATGTTTGATTTCATTGTTTACATATCTGACAAATAAAAAGACTGTGAAAGTGTATTTAGTGGAAGTTCTGGTCCAAATTTACTTCCGTTTTTTGACATTTGGTTTCACAGAACTGGCTGTGGCTGTAATCCCATCCTGTGCTTTACAGTTAACCATAACTAATAGCTGTGCTGCACAATCAGTATGAGATTGTTTGAGCCTTGAAGAGACTGTGAAATGACAATGTGACACAATGGCCGTTACATTTTGGTTTAATGACTGAGAAACTGACTTAAGCTGCTTTTTCAGGCACGTCTATGTTTCTCAGTACAAAGTCATGTATATAAGATAACAGGAAAAACATTTCAACTTGGAAGTTATCATGTATCAAAGAAACTGGACATTTGAAAAACAACAGGGTGTATAAATAACTGTCATGCAATCTGACTGGCATGACGTGGACACAAATGTAAAGGTAGAATGAAAAGGAGCTTGAAAGCCAACATCAACAAGTCCTGTTCAACAAGTCAATCGCTGATTTATTCCAATTTTCCTTCAAAATGATTAAAGAAAAACTTTTTTTCCAGCACACCATCATCATGTTAACCAAGTGTGAATGTCATGCCAAGTGTTCGTGTCGGCTGTTAGCCAGGCGTCCATCATGTGACTGGTAGTGTGTAATTTGTAATTTATTTCAAGGATAGCCCCTTGAGATGCATCATTTCATTTTCAAGGGGGTGTGTGAAAAAAGAAACTACAACCATACATGACAACACATAATATACCTGGAACATCAGAAATACGTCATTTAAGTATAATTTTGGTAATCTATTGAATTCAGACTGCTAGAGCCTGAGATCTTATTATTAATGGGCAAAAGACATGATCATTTATTTAATTCAAATACTGGACTCCCCATACTTTCAGATCAAATACACAGACTACATAAGTATGACCATGTGACCTACATTGTGCTCTGGCCTGTTATGTAAGAATTGATTTGTAATAGTTTCTCTGTAATCTCTAACCTCTGCAAACACTGCAGGTTTAGCTCTGCTTGCCACATTTTTGGAGTCAGTTTGCAAACTGACCTTCAAACTGGTGAGAATAGGCTTCCCTCACCTGCACTCCACTGCCCTGTAATCATCTGTGAGCCTAGTTTGTTTTCTTTACTAAGCACATTTGTTGTTGTTGTTGTTGTTGTTGTTGTTGTTGTTGCTGCTGCTGCAGTGTGGGTACAGGGCTTGGGATCATGTGTGTGTGTGTGTGTGTGTGTGTGTGTGTGTGTGTGGGTAACTTCAGTTTCCTGTCTCCACATTTTCTACTGAACATTCATCACTTCAGTTTATGAGTTCTGTTTTCACCATTGTGTATTTGAAACATGCTGTACAGAATAAATCATTGTACATTTGAATTATTACATTTAATAGATGACTTGTTTTGTCTCGGACTTTAGTATAATAACTGACATCCCTCTGTTGAATTGTTGAGGTTGAACTTCTTCCTCCTTTTTTAGGAAAAAAGAGTTAAAGGGTTAATTGTATTAAAAGTCACTAGATGACTAGATGTCTTTTAAAATGTTCCTGTAAGGGTTAAAATGACCACAGTTTGAAGATGTAAACATCTGTATATGCTGACTCATATATTGAGTAACTTAAATACAGTGTGATGTTAAACTTGATACACTCGAATACAATCTAATCCTGGCTGTTCAGGGCTTCCCACCAGAGGACTGTGTGCAAATGGATCAAACATCACAGCAGTCATGCATCAGTCTTGTGCATGAGCACTGTGGGCGTCTGGAAGTGTGTCACATGTCGTGATTCTGAGTCCAATCGCTGATTCAGAGGTCGTCACATGAGGAGGGCGAACCTCTCCTGCTCTGGTCTTTAAACTGCTGCAGACCCAGCAACACAGCAGAGATACAGACAGCTGTGTGTGTGTGTGTGTGTGTGGCCGGGGTGGGGGCAGGGGCAGGGGGGATAATGTGTGCAAATGCCAGTGTCACATTGGTGCAACATTCAGAAGGCGATTGGTAGAAGTCTGTCTCTAGACTCAGGGGAGGAAATAACTGAGGGAGGAGAGGAAGCTGATTTTTTTTGTTTGACATTTTCTTCTTTTCATGTTTTCTGTTTTCTTCATGTTGTGAATATTTGGTGAAAGTGGAACTAATCAAGAGACAGTGTAGGAATGTAATTCTTTTGTTTGCTGACTCTGAAAAGATACACACTAAAATCACTATTTCCCTTGAACACCAAGAGGATTCAAGGAGCTATGAGCAAAGGTCACAGGTCACATACTTACCTGCTGACCAGAGCCCGAGAACCCATCTCCACATGTATTCATTTATTAGTGATAGTAGCTTAGTTTTGATTTGCTGATTATGAAGTGGATCTAACTACCCTCTCTAGATGAACATTTGGCAGTCCCACCATGTTCCATTTTGCATCAACTTATTTTGAAGGGTGATTTGGCTTTCATTAACCTGAATACTAAAACTTAATTAACCATGAAAGAAGTGGAATAAAATGAAATGTTTGAAAGTTACACATCCATTCATAGAACCCTCTATATTGTTATTACATACTTACCACTGTCATCACTGTTTTTGTAAACTTACATCTCTTACCTCCAGCAAGTATTTTTACATTCAGTTGACAAGCCTGAATAAATGTTGTATTTAATTTTCTTTTTTTTTAACCAGTAAGAATGTTAAGTTAAATCCTTAATGTATAAATCTCTTCTTATTCTTATTTTTTTATATTTTAAGTGCTTTTTTTATGTATCTATTCTTATATTGTTTTATTTGCTCTGATAACATGCTGCTGTAACACCACAATTTCCCAGTTTGGGATCAATAAGGTAAATCTATTATATTCTATTCTATTCTATATCATGCATTGCTTGTTCAAATAGATTTCTGGGTGGTTGTGTAGACAGAGATGATTGCCTCAGAGTTCTGCTGAACCAGCATGATGATGATAGTGCGGCTCTGCAGTGACCTGGTAAGCTAACCTCGTTGCATTCCTGGCCTTACTTCCATTTCCCCTCCTAATGCTACACATCTGCTCACAGGTATCACCCTAAACACCTGGTACTTGACTCTGCTGCCCTCTGCTGGATTGACCTGGGACTACAATGTGTGACAAATAATGTCTAGTTTACTCTTTTTTTTGTAGCTGTTAATCCTCCAGTTCTTCAGAAGTAATTCTTATAGGTCAATTATGCAAAGCCTGAAATATTTTATTTTATTTTTTAGGTTTAGGGTTTTTTTTATGCATGGTTCAAAGGGAAATATCTAACTTAAACCTATAGGTTCCCTTTTTTATTTAGTAAATAAGTTCTTTGTAATCATATTTCTCAAATCTTTTTAATTATCTGCAAGGTCTTTCAAGGTTGTGATTGTGCTTGTTTTTTTGTCACTGATAGAAAAAGACCTTTGTTAAAGAGTGGGAAGCAGTGATTCAGCAGAAACAGATATCGCTCTCTCTAAAGCTCCTGCAGACTCCACTGCCAAAACCAGTTCAATCAGGAGAGACTTAATTGAGAATGAACAATTATTTATTCAACAATAAATGTGCAACAGTTTAGATTTGAATGTGCAAAGTCTTTGGGGGATTAGACTCCATCATGATGACTTCATGTACTCAGAAGGGTAATGAGGCCGACTGCAGGATAGGAAACCCCCTTATGGAGTCTAGACCCTGGTGGTGGTGAAAGCAAACTGGCCCCCCTTGGTTTCAGCACCCCCCTATGTAACTGGCTGCTTGACTTCCTCACAAACAGACCCCAGTCTGTGCGGGTGGGCAACAACACCTCCAGTGTCATCTCCCTGAGCACCGGCTCCCCTCAGGGCTGCGTCCTGAGTCCGCTGCTGTTCACCCTGATGACCCATGACTGCTGCGCCAGGTCCACTACTAACCACATCGTGAAGTTTGCAGACGACACAACAGTAGTGGGCCTCATCCGTGACAACAACGACATGGACTACAGAGAGGAGGTGAAACATCTGGTTGACTGGTGCAGAACCAACAACCTGGCCCTGAACGTCGATAAAACCAAAGAGATCATCGTCGACTTCAGGAGGTGCCAGCCCAGCCACACACCACTCCTCATCAACGGCACAGCAGTGGAGAGAGTTAGCAGCACAAAGTTCCTGGGGTGCAGATAACAGACACTCTGACCTGGTCCCTTCACACCGGAGCAGCACATGCACTTTCTGCGTCGGATGAAGAGAGCACACCTCCCTCCTCCTATTCTCACCACCTTCTACAGAGGTACTATAGAGAGCATCATAACAAACTGCATCTCTGTCTGGTCCGGAGCCTGCAGTGCCTCCGACTGGAAGTCTCTGCAGAGAGTGGTGAGGACGGCGGAAAAGATCATTCAGACTCCACTTCCTCCCATCCAGGAGATCGCAAAGATCCGCTGTCTGACCAGGGCTCAGAAAATCAGCAGAGACACCTCCCACCCCCACCAAGGACTGTTTTCACTGCTGGACTCTGGAAAGAGGTTCCGCAGCCTCTGAAGCAGAACTTCCAGGTTCTGTAACAGCTTCTTCCCACAGGCCATAAGACTTTTGAACACGAAAAAATAATTCCTCCATTCCCCCTCAAACCCCCACACAGGACTACCTCACTGGACTGTAAAACACAATAGAACGTGCAATATATTTATCTGTATAGTATTTTTACTCATAGTTTTTCTTTTTATATCTATTTATATCTGCACCTTATTTTTATTTTTTATATGTTAATACATGCTGCTGTTTTTATCCTGCACTA